ATACAAATATATTGAAAATCGTCACACTGCAACACATAAATCCAGAAAAGAAAATCAATTTTTTATTCCGATATTACACGACAATATGTAAATGACAGTTTACATATTATTTTATCTAAAGAGGATTAAAATGGGTCGGAAGTAGAAACAATATCTCCGGGATTCGTGAGGACGGACCTATTTAATCATTTAATTTTAACCGACACTCTACCATAAAAATATCCGGTTAATCCATTTAAAAAAATAAAATAAATACATAATAACAAAACAAAGAATTATTAAAACCCTTTTTAAGTGAGAAATTATTAACTGGTTGTTCGAGCAAATATACCTGCATCCTACATCCTGAAAATAAAAAATGTATAGATCAAACAAACATTTTGCTGTCCCATTTGTTAAAATAATCCGCGCCGCCACTGGTTGCATCCAAATTGCATGTAAAAAAAAAATGTCCGAATTTTATAACACCTCTTACAAAAGTCTATCTGAATTGCACAGTGTGTATAATTTTGCTTGTTACTACTTAATTTTTTTATTTTGGACTACTCATTTTTCAAAAAACAAAAAATTATTCTAAATTGTTAAAAAATATATTTGATTTTATTTAATCATACATTCACTTCCATTTAATTACTACTTTAATTTAGTAGCTACCGTATTAAAACTAAATTCAATTAACATTTTCATAAATTGAAAAATAAATAAAACTACTGAATTAAGTATATTATGTATAGAAATACTCTAAGATATGATTTTTACAGTGATGACGCAATTTCAAAGGAATGAAATTTGTAGAATAATTTATGTACACAAGTTAGTATATAGCTTTATGGCGTTGTCGATAACAAAATAAATACTCTAAGCTAATATATTAAATACATTGAAAATATGTAATAAATTAACATATAGAACGTTGGAGATGACAGTATAAATTATAGACGATATTGTACATATAATTAAAATAGTAAAATAATGTTGTAATTTAGTATTATAATAATTTTGAAATTGAAACATGTATAAATTTAATATGAAATCCAAAAATTGAAATATGTTAAACCACGCCAGTACAACAATTAAATTTATATTGTAAATCCTAATTCTAAAATAAATGAGAAGAAAACGACACTATAATTAAATTCTAATTCAGCAATTTAAAGTTAAGTGACATTAATAAAAAAAAAATAGATGAGCTTATGACTAAATGTTTATAAGTCATAAATTACTTTTATGAATAAATAAAAATAAATATTTTTAGACAATTTGAATGGTTATTATTTTTTTGTTTTAGAAAAATCAAGTCTATAATGTACGTGAGATAACAATAAGTATGTGAGTCTGGCAAGGCATGACTAACTTTACGCTGCGTTCCTCCGCGGCGAAAAGTCCATTTAAAACATGCAAGTAAAGAACATATGTTCTTCGATGATTGAACCCTTTCACAAAACGGAGAAATAATTATCTAAACATGACTTCAGGCTAGCCTGAACTCACTAGTACAAGATTCTAGACTGTCTGATTCGGCGAAGGGGTAATATTGGTACAAGATTCCAGACTACCTATCTCCAGGAAAATCTTAAAAATATCTCCTAACCAGGAAAATTCAAAAATGTTTACACATGTTATTTTTACGGTGTTTCATTCGGTTACTTATTATTATATTAATCTCCTGTTAATTCAGTTAGTCTGCTCGCTCATCCTGAAAACTGTATTTAAATTATTTAATAAATTATGGCAATAATGGGGTGGTGTTGTTAATACAGATCCTCTACGATTGTCAAAATCAAAAAAATATATTTATATATATTTTAAAATACTAATGAATGTGTATAGTATAGGAAAACAAGTTTATAAATAACTCTTGAAAACTAGTAATCTATAAACTGAACTTTATACAAAATTAAAAAATTAAAAATTATAGCCCAAAACATATTATATTATTAAATTTCATTGTTTTTAATACATAAAAACATTTATTTTATATTAATAATTTGTTTTTAATTAATAGTGGTTAATAATATATATGGTGGCGACATGGTAGGTAAAGTAAGTCTCTTCCCAATTTTTGTTCCAATAAAACGCATGCACCATTTAAACGCCCTGTATTTGAAGCTGTGGTATCACAGCATATAGCTTGAACAACATTTGTTACGCCCCAATTTTCTAATGCATAAAAAATAGCATTAGCTTGTTATTTTCCTGTTGATTTTTCCAATTTTGGGATACCAATAAGCAAATCTTGATTCTTACTGGGTAAAACAATTGGTAATCTATCAATGCCCGAGTCTCTGACATTTAACGTCGGAAGTATTTTTATTTTTAAATAAGATAATATTAAACTGCATAATGTTTGTAATGTTCAAATAATCTGATAATTTCAGTAATTGTGTGCAATGTGTATTTATAAAAATTTAATTAAAAATTAACATTAGAATTTGGAGCAAATAGTATTTTCTTACATAAAAGTCAATATATCATGTAAATTATAATAAATAAGAAGAAATATATAAGAACATAATTTATTCAAAATGTTATTTTATTCAAAAAATATAAAATAACAAATTACAATTCTCCCAATTTTAATTGAGATATACATAAGAATGTAAAATATAACATAAAATGACGAATATATTAATATACTCAAATTTCAAATTTGAGTCGGCACAGGTTAACCTTAATAGATTGACTTGAAACTTTTTGTAGTTCATTTTTTTATACATATACACAAATTTAGGGGGCGAGACTACAGAAATATTAAAATTAATAAATAAGGGACACCCTACTGTACAATTATTACCTACAGAAAGGGTTTTGAAAACCATTGTGTTTTAATAATACGTAACTGTATTTTTATAGTGTCCTCTGTAAAATAAAATAATAGGTACAATTGATTATGAGTTATCTATCCTATTTATATTCGGAGAGTTAAGCATTACTGAACAGGTTTTTGAAATAATAAATTACTTAACAAGTGAATTGCATGACGTATACACAATCAAAATTACAAGGAAATTTCTGTAATTACAATACAAATTATACAACTTTATACGTAAATTATGTTGATTTCATATAACAATATAAACATTACGTGAGGGGGAAGTTACATCTCCCAACCACCCCTTAGATACATCGCTCTATTTACAACAACACACAATATTATTTATTGTAAGTAAAACTTCAAAAAATTTTAAAAAAAAAAATGTATTTTTTAGTTATCATATCACGATCCAGCGCGACTTTTAATACGGAGGTTTTAAAAGAATAAATTTGATTTTGGTTTTTTTTTCAGTCCTTATAAATCTTCACATTTATTGTTTAAATTTTCAAAAAGTTATCTATACTACATAGAGGTACACGATAATAAACACATCATAGAAACCTTTAAAATTGTAACTCTACATTCTTCACAACTTTAATATCTTTATAGATAACCGATGATCACAGTTTGTCTTGCAAAAATTATTACCCTGTATACATTTCATTGAAATAAAATAATATCATTGATTTAGAAGTGTAATATACTAGCCAAGTATATAAAATGGCTAAAATTTAGTACGATTAAATTTGTTTAAATTTGTTTTTTTGATCTTTATAACTGAACTACAAAAATGCAATACTAATCAAAATGCCAATAAAATATAAACTTGTATTATATACTAAACATATTCGAATAAAATATCTAAACCTTGATTTATCCAGACTAGGAAAAAATTAAGTTTAATTAATTTAATTAAACAATCATTTAGTGGTTTTTTTTTTTTTTTAGTATAGATATAGAGATGGTAATTTTAATCCGATAAAACGTGTCATCCAATATATGGAAGCCCTTAAGTAACATGATCGCCTCTACCTATATTACTCATGCTGCAGTAGCTCAGTAGCTGTTGTTTTATAAGTGCCAAGTGGAGAGATTCCATTTGTTTGAATATTACGTCACTACTAACTTATCTACACAATGATTCTATTGTTTCTATATTATATAAGCTACAGTACGCTCTGAGAGCAGTTCATGTACCTACTCGGATTCACCAAGATTCCCGCTTTTTGTGAATAAATCCTTTCGCCAACTGTCATCGTATACCCACCTATAACTCCCACTGCTACTCTCCACAAAGTTCGTTTTCAAATTTGTAATAACAATTTTGCGCAATGTGTTTCTAGTGAGTTCAGGAATATATCAATATAAATATTGAAACATATGTCACAAAACTTTTATTAATACCCTTGTAAATAAATAATCTGCAGTAATTAGATTTTCAATTTTTCCGTACATCAGGTAATTAATTAGGTAAAAACCGATAATCTGACCATGATTCACACATAATCTATGAGGAAATACAAACAAAGGAGTCCCAATGCAATACGTTTAAATCCAATTTATATTATCCGATATTGCGGATGTCTCTTTACAATGTTTTAAAAAATAATATACTTTTGTTTATTATATTTGATTTACAAGCTACATAATACTATCAATCAAGAATAAACGCAAGACATGTAAGTGTCAAAACCTTTTGGTTTCAAGAAAATATTATTATACTGCCAACAAAGAACGAGTTGATAATAACTATACAGTTAGAAATTACTTTCTACCAAAGAAAATCAATAAATTTAGTGATTTAGTGATTTCACAAGAAACAATAACATATAATAACATAACACATTTTTACTAACTTTTCACATCTACCAACGACGTTAAAATCGTAAAATAAACTTTTACCCAGAGTAAGATTAAGCTATACACAGGCCCTAGACACGAATTTAAAAGATTTCCTTTCATATCGTATGTACTTTTAAAACAATTTTTATCGAATTATGTTATAATATAACTGTGTATATTATAACATTGTACCGTAGCAATTACTATTTATTAATAAATACTAATTGTTAACGCATGCATAATCTATTACAACACAATTAATAATAAAACAAAACACTAATTGAAAATAATTACAATAATAATAAATTCCGTATTGTATGACGACAGTACGTCATCCAAAACGATTATATAAAGACTACAGTTAAGTTAAATTTTAATACTAAATTGTATATAAATAGGAGATTTTTTTTTTAATCTTCTTTTTTATCAGCTATTTCTCGTAGGCCCTAGGCATTGTGTCTATAGTGTCTAACAGTTAATACGACATTACCATTTACTATTTTAGGACTCAACGAACTAGATTACACAAAAAACGATCAGACAAACCATTATAATATTATGATATTGTATCTATATTTGATATCGGTGTTCAAAAATGTCCAAAGTTTACAGCCTAATCAAAATTTTAAAAACGATCGTAATATTATTTGTATTCAAAATTAGTGTTTTTTTGGATTTTTATTATTATTATTATTTTTTTTTTTTGTAAGCTCATCATATACGTCATATTTCTGCATCGTCTTTCAATTAAAAATTATACTGTAATCCTGTTTTATAATGATGTGCAAATTGCATACATTTATTATTATTGTTATTACTAAGACACACGATATTATACACCAAATTGTGTTGTACAATATCGTGTATCGTGGTTCTCGGTAGATCATCTGTTTAATTGGCGGTATTAAGAATAGATATTGTTTACACTTACATTATTCACCATGCCCGAAAAGGTTTTATCAAAAATTATCAAATATAAAGTATAATATAATATAAATATGATGGTAAAATGCCGAGTACTCGAGTAAATAACCTAACAATTTACTTTCTCGATCACTAAAATTAAATTAAGCAGCTGATAAATTAGAATATGCAAGTAATTTAATTTGTATACTGTACAAATCAGTAAACTATTGCAAACGAAAGACGATTCTGAGTGGAGTCGTATTAGTCACGTATTCTTTACTTTGTTGCTAATGTCATCCAGACATCAACAAAAAAAAAAAGACCCGAACTGTTGAAAATATCAATAAATATTTTAAATAATGTCCCACGGGCCAAAAATGTCATGTCTATCAAAGTACTACGTAGATAAATTGAAGAATTAAATAAAAGGGTTTTAAATTAGTTCTGTTAAAATATTAATTTTTAAAAAGTTACAATAATTAATTTTTTTTTAATCTTGAATAATGAGATATTATCTACTATTTTATTCGAGTAAATCAAAAATCAATATGTTGTCGCTTACTTAAATAATTTTGTTATCTTCAATTTCCATAATGAGTGGAAATTCTAAAATCACTTTGAAGGGTAATTTTTTCAGTTTTACGTGAACGTGTTCTCGGCCAAATTCCACGAGTACACAATAATAGATACCGATTTGTTATAAGGACTTGGCATCAATTTTAAATTTATATGAAAATTAACTTAATTGTTTTTGGGACGATACATTTTCTTTTTTTAAATTTTTCATTAAAATCGCCTTTAGACACAACCCCTTAAATATTGGTAGCGTGAGTGTGACCTGCTCTTAAGTTATTAAACCTATGCAAATATTGTGCAGGTACCTGTTGTACCTATTTATTATTTAAATAAACCACCACTACAGGAATTTCGATTAATTTCGGTCTTAATGGATAATATTATTTATTTTTTAAAACTAAACATCTCATAATAATATACTCGCATAATTTACTTATTACAAAGTAAAGGTGAAAAGTTCAAGGTTTTCGGATTTATAATTATTAAAAATATATTTGACGTTTCAAAGTTTACATAATTCACAATAATTTAGACGTTATCTAAGGTCAATTATCGAGAAATTAGTTAATTTTCAATTGGAATTTCAATTGCACGTAAAATATTTAATATACGTGCCTTTTAACAAAAATAGTAAAAAATCAACATACAAGAAAAATCAAAAAATTATCTCTCCAATATACCAACTATACAACCTCTTCTATCAGAAACCACCTCTAAAGTTGATTAGAGCAATATAAATCAGAGCTGATAAAGAAGTTGTTTAGATGGGAATAAATAATAATATAAAAAAAAATAGATATCAGTATAGTGACTAATACGTCATTTCTCGCTTCGCTGAGAATCTAAAATGAACCCGGTGTATATCACACAGAAACGCAATTTTAATATTACATATTTTGTTATTTGTACATTTTATTGCTAAAATGTGTTCTGTACAACAATATGTCAAATTCAATAAAAATCAGTTTTCACGTTAATAAATACAATCTATTGTATATACAATATACGTACACAGTCTAATCTAACCTACGTATTCAAGTCAACTACAGCATGTTTGATAAATTATAATATTTGATTAAAACAATTTCGAATTATACAGTAATTTAAATTTTAAGCGAACAGAAAATATATTTTAATATTGGTGTGCAAAGTTTCCTATAAATAATATATCGAATGATACGAATCTTGATACTTTAGGTAGATATTTTTTAAATTTTAATTTTCTAGTAGATTAAAAACATAGATTATTTTTCCTAAGTAAAATTTAAAATAAGTTTTATTGGGGCTCTAAATTAAATCATTGTATAGGTATATTAATACGACAATTAAGTATGTATACCTACTCGTATGATTAAACTTTAAAACAAAGATTACAAAGATGGTAAGTATAAGTCACTGTAATTAACAATAAAAAGATAGAAGTAGCGATAAATGAATTCAATGGAAAAATAATTCTGAGTGGGGCTCAGTAAACATGTATATAATTTGGTTGTAGAGTAGTTAAAAGTCGTGGTTTTACCTTTTGTATAACTGAAATAAAATAATTTTAAAAACCCAAAATATTGTCATTTGTAATGGAGTTTTTTTAAAATTTTTTAAAAAGTCCGCTGGAAATTTAAAAAGTGTTTCAAATAAACTACCACTGAACAAAGAATTTGCACTTTTTAAGATAAGATATGAACAATTTGTAGCTTTTTTGCCAACTGAAAAAGTGTGTTCTAAGAAAAATGTAAATAATAGATTTACGGGGTCAACTATTGAGAATTAAAAAAAAAAATTAAAATAAAAAGAACAACCAAACAAAGATTTTTTGAATTTTTAAAATAATCTATACGAAAAAATCCGAGTATTTTACTTACCAAAAAGTTTAAGAAAATACATCATAGTTATACGAATAGCTTCTATTCAGTTGGAATCTAAAAGTATGGATGATCATAAAATGTATTGCTCTTTCTGTGTTTATCAAAATAAAATAAAAATAATAATCGCTCTTATTTTAAGAATTCCAATTGGTATAGTCACTGTAATTATCCCTTTTCATACTAATTAAAATTATTTGTGATGATTCTAGATTTTTCATTTTTTTTTTTTTTAATAGGTATAGGTATTCAAATTTATCAAAAATGATACAAAAAATTTAGCGTCATGCGTGATTTAACATAATAGGATTGACAGGTTAAATCCGATAATTCGTGTTAAATAGATTATATTATTATAAAATAGCATATTGTTTCTATCTGTATCGATGAGGATTGATAAGTAATTATATATATGGTCTGATACAAATTTATAAAACTAGCAGCACTGATTTTATGTATACTATAATTTAGAAGTGTATATATTCCACATTGTAGAAGGATTACGGTGAAGAAATACTCTCGGTGAGACGGACACGGAAAACCACGAAAACGTAACCACGTCCGCAAAGCGGTGAATGGATTACTATACAAACTCAGACGTATCGTAATATTATTAAACCCCGACAAACAGCTGCAGTAATCCGTTACCTTTCTTATTTTCAGTAAATAATATATACGTCGTGTTTAGCAATATTAATTTACTTTATTCTATTTTGCAATTATTATTTTACAAAACTATGAATGTACAAATGTATTAGTGTGGTCCTTAGTTAAAGAAGAAGAGATAAAATATAATTTTATTGAAGTCCCACCTTGTTATTTTGTTCATTACTTGAAGAAAATAATTTGATTGAAATTTCGTTATAATTTTCCCAATTTTCCAGTTCTTGATATACTGTTATTACTTTATTTTCACCTGTACTAAGATATTAGTTCAGGCAATCCAAGAAGTTTCTTTAGGCCATCATATGAACTTGAATAACTATATAAATATCAGACTTTATTTTATTAATTACATTTATTTTTCAAACATAAGTTAATCATTGTTACATTTGTTTTGTTATTATCTTAATTTTCTGTAGCAAAACAGCAAAGCTCACCTAAAAATCTAATTAAATACTATATTTAATAATAAATGTTGAACACATATTAGTATTAATAGATAATTATTTTTTCAAATTAATAAAAACTTGAAATTGGTATAAGGTTTCACTATGTAAATAAACAAACATTATTGAACTGATTTCCACTATAATCTCCATTCAGAGTGGTTTTTATAATCATCCTTGTCGTTTTCTTTTACGATTCTATTAAAAATATTAATGTTAAAATAATACTGCAACGATCAAATGTAGAGACGAATACCTACTATACGTTCTACATCCTCACGTATCTATTTAAATATTCTGTAATTATTCATTTTATTCATGAAATACTTCAAATTAGTTAAATTTATTTTGAGGATATCATTTCAAACAAGAAAAAAATAAAACGCAGATATTCTTCTTCTGGTATTAAGATTTTCGATAAGTTATCAGTAGTTTTCTATATGTTTATCTGCCAAAACTCAAATCCTTCGAGTAAACTTTTCATTACCACCTATCCTTATAAAAAGTGTGAGGTGTATATTAAATTCTATCATTGGTTCACCAATTTTATCTTCCACATAACCTTCAATAATCGATTTTAACAAACTTCTATAGCGTAGTAGGTAAACAGGTGACCTATATTAAAATGAATCAGTCCTAAATGTTTAAAATTTGTTAAAGTTGTCTTATTTTTCTTAATTCATCTTAAAACTTCTTCATTTGTTATTCTATCACGTCACGAAATTTTATGCAATTCGTAAAATGCTCGAGACCAGTAACATTACATATTAAATACTTCTCGATTGTGCTCTGCATTGTCTAGGTTTCACACCTATATAACCATTGCAGATTCCATACATATATCTTCAAACATTTATCCCTTGTTTTGAGTCCAACGCTATTCACGGTTTTATTTGTGATATTTAAAGGTAAATAATATGTGTGGTTATAGTGTGTTGCATGCCATTTATAAGTTAACAATCATTATCAAATATGATTGTTGAACCCAAACAAAAAAAATGTACAGCATTTAATTGTGGTTTAAAATTACTTTAAAATTCTTAAGTTTTACATTTTAAGTAAGTAGTTAAATATTTATTGTATTGCTAAATATCTTATCTGAATAACTATCTTTTTTAATAGCAGCTAGTCAAATCTTAGTTTGCAAGTACTCGTTTTTTAACAAAATATAAGCATTTAATAAAACATATTAATTTTGTTTTTAAAACTATTAAATTATTGTTTGAATCCAAATAATCTAGTTATTATCATGAATAAATACTGATAAGAAAAACATGACCAATAGTCATTATTCACGCGTAAAATACTATGGAAATGCATTTATTTTATTATTTATTAACAAATAATAAAGATAGGTATAATATACTCGTGTAAATTGAAATAATATTTCACTGTTGTATTAGATTCACTTCATATGTACAAAAGGCTTTCGAAATAAGCTTTCGTGCAACGTCAACTAACCTATACATCTATATAATATTAAAAGTCAATGTTTTTATTATCAGTTCAAATAGACTAAGCACAAACCGTATACAACAATAATAATATTATTATATATTATAGGCTCTATATTTTCGTTCAATATGTTGAATTTGATAAAAAAAAAAAGTATTATATTGATGATTTATTATTATAACACATAGAAAAAATACTTACTTCCTGTTGTTATTTTACAATTATTGTATGATTCTGAGTAGAGGTCAATAAAAATGTTGTTATTAAATTTAAATTAAATATAATTTTTATAAAATTTAAGTTATATCAAAAAGTAAGTATACCTTTGTTATTTTTACGAGGATTCTTCAAAATGTAAACATTTTAGTAGGAAAAACTTAATCCTTGTGTCAAATTTGTAAGCATTCATAAAAAAAGAAATCTTGAAACATTCGGAATAACATAAAAATTTTAAATATCTCAAAAATGTCAAAATATTTCGGTAATTATTAGTATACTACATTAAAAAAATACTAGAAGAAGTAAAAATTCAGAAAAAATTTCAGGTCTCTTCTATAATTCTACTCTAATTTGCGATACCTCTCAATGAATTACAACGAAAATACAAAACCGACTTTTATAAAAATCTGGTACGTTACGTAATAATATTACTGTTTTTCTACGAGTTTTCGATTTTTCCTCAAAATTATTATAATCAAAAAGATTTCCACTGTGCACCTACCAGATTTAAAATGCTACAAGAAAACTCCTATGCATTATTCGATCGAAACAAGTGTTCTGTTCAAAAACTATCGATTGCAATTGGAAATAAAAAATAATAATTGACGGTGTATAAAAGAAAACAGTATAAATTATACTTTGTTATAATATTTTTATTGATTATTTAAAAAAAGTTTTTCTATATTATGGTTCGTACATTAAGTCCCTGTCACTTAATTATTTAATAGAATAAACTAAAATTAAAAACGAAAATAATATATAATTATAACTATTCGTTTCAAAAATAAGAAATAAGTCGCAAATATTAGCTTTGAAGAACACCCTTTGTTTCGAAACAAACATATATAATAATAACTGTCCAAAAATACTATATAACAAACTCGAGTTCGTTTTAAAAATAGTTAAAATCCGTATAAAAAAAAAACCAACAACACTCAAGTGAACATATAACTGAACGTTACAAAGTGGCTGCCAGATTCCAGACGGTACAAAATTAATGTAAAAAGATGTAAAGATAGTCATCATAATATAGTACGACATAGCAGTATGCAATTAAAAATACATAAGTACATGTAAAACGCGAACAATACTCTTGTGTATGTAGAATCAACATTTGGTGTTTCCATAAGCCAGACCTACTTCGTGCCATGGGTAAGCCATTGTTGTGAGTAGTTGTAGGGAAGGTAGAATAAAGGGTATAATTTTGTTTATATACCGTGCAGTGTGCATACAACAGTAAATCATTGCAATAAAAAAAAAATATTAAAACGGAACTTGATAAATTGATAAGATTATAGAATTAATCGTGTTTTTTATTTCCTTCGTAAACAGTAATATACCTGCCTGTTTGGTAATCCTACAGAAATCAACAAAAATAATAAATAATATATCGACATTTATTGAAAATTTTAGATTCTGAGTGAAGTGAAGAATGTATTGGTTTTATTAAGATGTTTATTTATTTATTTTTTTTTTATACTGTGTGCAAAAATTCTACTAGAAATCTTACTTTGATATATACGCCCGACACCATTTCTGAAAGGCAATATTATCGTCACAATTTCTGATAGGCAATATTATAAAAATTATATTATTATATATAGGGAAGTCATTTTTTGATTTTCTAAACGGTTTTCATAATATATGGGTAAAACCAGGATAAAATGTAAGAAAATCCAGAAATGTACGAAATTAATGCTTATATTATTTTATCAATTTTGTTATTTATTGGAATTCAGTTAAAAATATTCGTAGACTTGAAATTTGAACAGAAAACTTATATTTGCCTAGACATGGTGAAATTTTCAAAAAATATAAGCTATTTTTGAGCTATTTATAGACATTTTAATTTTACGAGTTTTGTATGTAACTTTTATTCGGTAATTACTATATAGCAAAATTGATAGACTTAACAGAAATGCTTGAAAATTTAACAAGGGATTCAAAAAATTGAGTTTATAGTAGTATTTGTTTTTATAAATGAATTTCGATATTCAATTTTGACGAAAATTGTTTGAGTGAAAAATTATATGGAACAAATCTAATTTTTCAATTTTTTTTTTTAGATGTGTATTGCCGATTTAAGGAGAATGGTGAAGTCAGAATTCAGCGGACTGACTAAGTTTCGAAATTTTAACTTTTTGCAATTCAGATATTATGCAGATATTACATGTTCATGTTAAATAACTATATTGTGTAATTTACTGTACGTTTGTTGTAGTCGAATGGTCATAAATACGTATTGTCATACTAAGGCTCGCGGGTTCAATCAAACACGGGTTTTGAATAAGAATTAGGTACCCTTTTTTCTTCTTTTACCTAAATAGGGAAAAACAAATGCATTTTGAGTGTACTTAGAGACCTAGCTATTGCTTGTTAGGACAATATTAATCGAAAAATACCCCTTAATTTGTTGTCCAAACTTTTCTACCAGAAATCTTACTCCCATGTATCAAGTGTAGCTTATTTACTGAAAGTAAATTTTATCTCCATGGTTCAGTGAGGTCATTTTTGTGATTTTTTAATTGGTTTTCATAATAACTGGGAAAAACTGGGATAAAATGTTGAAAAAACAGAAAATGTATGAAATATATTATTATGTAAAATAGTTATTGTATTGTAAAAAAATATTATAGCCTTTTTTTTCTGTGTACAACTTTTTTACCAGCAATTTTTCTAAAAGTAAATCTCACTGGAATGTACTTGAGGGAGATAATTTTTCGATTTTTCCAAGACTTTTCTTAACAAATGTTATAGTCCGGGAAAAAACACGGGAAAATCGATACAATATTAAACAAATATTATTAAAGAAAATATAAAATGCCTATTTAATTATTTTACCATAATATGACATAAATATTGTTAACAAAGCATCACTATCAACTGTACTGCGCTCAGAATCGTTTTTCCGTCAGCAAGGGTTTATCGTTGCTAACAGATTTTCATTAAATTGCCTAAAATAGTGGCTTTACCCGTCTCAATCATCCTAGGACGTCTTTATTTAATTTTTTCTAAAAAAAATCTGTCATGAATCTAGAAAAAGTTGTTCAAGTGACGAGTATCAGTGGTTGAAAAATCAGCATCTTAAAAATATGTGATGGGGTGGCAAAAAAACCGGAGCAATTTTATTAACCACATCAAAGAGTTTATTGAGAGAAAAGAACCGAAAACCTATAAAGATTATTATCCAATATGTGGCTTACTTTTCATTAATATTATTATATGCAATGAAATTAATGAGTACTTTTGACAGTTATTACTTCAATCTAATAAAAAAAAAATACGCTTTAAGTAGATTATTCCATCAGATAATATAGAAATTTTAAATTTTAAATTTTTACATTGGTGCTTCTACTTTGCTCCCTAGATATAAAGAATATTGTGGTGTTCTTACATCGAAATGAGGATATAATCTTCAAAAAATATCTTAACTTTATCTAAGACCTTAAATTAACATTTGTATAATAAGGTATATCAATTTGTGACGGTAGGTCACAAAATAGACCATAACCTTAATAAAGCATACGCAGAATTTGTAATGCAGCTTGAAAATCTAAAAATAATAGAAGTTGTATTGTTTATACAAAAATTAGATTTAAATCTTAAATAGTAAAACGGCATGTGGTGGTATATTCACCAAACCAAATGAATACAGAAATATGCATTTATTTGGTATGTAGGTACATACGAACAATAGTGTACTATAATAGTAACGGATTGGGCGATTTATCATTATAACTAATGGACAAATTATACCTTGAAATTAATTACACTAGGTAAGGGTTAAACATATTATAATAACGTGAAACACAGTGCATGAAAGCGTATGTATAGTAGGTATATACAGTTGCCAGTCCGTTTCATTAATGGGCTGCAGTCTTCGACACGGTACGCTCATTGACTACGAGCAATAGGCCGACTGTGTATACAGTCGGCAATGGCGGCCGATCCGCTTTCACTCAGCATCTCGGTGCCGAGAAGACCGAAGTTTCCATACACACACATGACACACACTATATAATAATTATTTAATGCATTGTTAGATTAACATAATAATAATATGATTTGCTTTAAAATTGTGATTTTAATATACCCGTCGTACAATGAAATAATTATAAAAATAACTAGATCTCACTACTTTACATGTATACGATTTAAAGTATTCACGTAAAACTGATATTCGTTTCTATAAAACCGTGAATTTGATAAATTTGTGTATACATATGCCCGTGCGTATTTACGTATTCACATATTCACAAATTTTAGTATAAACAAGTATACCAAATTTCCTAACATTTAATAATAGTAGATAATAATAATCAGTATATCTACTCGATATAAGCAGTACGTAAAGACAAGTCATCCCCTATTTATATTCACACAGTAGTACTATAGTACCTAGCAGCGAGGGATAGTATTAGTGGTGTAGCAACCCCCCCCCCCATTGACCGTGTTCATTTACTACGTGTATTTAATAAAATTGCGAAAGATAATTATTTTAAAATATGGTAATAGGTACCCTCATACGTAAACGTAATTATATCTCTAGGTAAATTACTTAACTATGTTCGTTTTTTCATAAGAATTTTATTATTAAATTTTGAAGAAAATCATAAATAATACGGCCTTTCAAAACATGTAAAACTGAACTCCGCTCAGAATTATTTTTCATTAGGTTCATTGATTAATCAATGCATACAGATATACATTTAAGTCCCCTCTATATCCTACCTTCCTAACTTCTCATTTATAATAGTGCCCCACCCATCGTGCGAAATAAGTCAGTCTTTTCTCAATTAATAAGTTTTATTACTTTTCATACCACCCCCCTTTAGAAATTTCTGGCTACGCGCCTGGTACATAAAATGATGTACTACCATTAAGCGATTCTTACATAACATAAGAGGCTATAGTCGAGATCTCTAATAATAAAATAAAACGAAATGTTTTAAGAAATTACGAATTATATTTTCTATCGCCTATTGCACAATATTGCTCCCCAATATCTGTGAAAAATAAAAAGTTGGCCAATACAATATTCTATCAACTGCAGCTGTGATTATAACTTCCATTAGTGAGAATATTTTTAGCGATTAAAAGCGTTTCGTTAATTGAAAATGCATATTTTTTTCCATCAACAAAATAATATGAGATAAAGAATATTCTTATAAAAGTTATCAATAAATAACTTTAAACATTAAGAATACTCGAATAACTCGAAATAAATGAACAAGTAACATTCAAATTCCGTATCATATATTATTTTGTTGATTTCATTTTAGATTCATTCCAAAATGAGGAATGTACTGGTTTTATAATAATGTTTTTTATTTAATTTTTTTTTCTAACTTTCCTAAAAGAAAATTTTATCTGGATGCTACTTTAAAGAGGGCATTTTTTGATTTTTTACCAAGCAGTTATCATAATAATAGAACAAAACTGGGAAAAACTAGAAAATTTACAAAATATATTTTTTAAATTTTGTTTTTTTTTTTTTTTGTTAAGATATAAAAGTATTGATAGACATGAAATTTAAACGGAAAACTTAATTGATTTTTTGCGTTTTCTAGACATGTTAAAATTTTAAAACCATTTTATCCATTTTTAAGCTAAATATAGACATTTTTATTTTACATGTGAATCTCTGTGAATAAAATTGTTAGACTAAATAGAAATACTTATAAATATGATAGAAGGTTCATTATAAATCGTACATTATGACTAAAAAAAAATGTATGTGATGTACAATTTTTTTATAAGAATTTTAATTTCAAATTTTGAGGCAAATCATAAATATTACGGATTCTCAAATCATGTCTAACCGAATCATTTTTTGTTAACAATGATTAATCATTGCTTACAGATTTGCGTATTCATTAAATTCCCTTCTATATCTTACCTTCCCATCTTCTCATCTACAGCAGTGGCCCACCCATTGTGCGAAGTATGTCCGTATTTTCTTATTATACACTGGGTGTTAATTATTAATTATATTATTAGACCTACATTTTACACGTTACACAGTACATGCCATTCATTACATTTAAAATACTCACTATGTTCAAAGTTTAAATGATTTTGTTCGCCTTATATTTTAAGATTATGTACACTAAGTGCAGTACTTACGTATTTTATCAAATGGAAATAACATAATATAATATTGTATTGATTCACTCACCTGAAACAAAAAAACAAACTATATTTTATAATAATATATACTTAAAGCTATGTAGGTCAATTATATTATTAATTAGTTCTACTAGTCATAAATATATCTATAGATTTATACCACCTAGAAATTTAACAGGTGAAATATACAAATAATAATTAAATGAAAAATATATAGTTCCTAATACAATTTTATCTAACTTTACAACCTAAAAATTATATATATAAAAAAAAAAAACACATTAATTATTCGAACATACAAGAACACACTGAATTATAACTAAATATTTAAAGTAGCATTATCATACCGACGAATCGCTAGACAGCTGTGTATGTAAAGTTTAAAAATGAACCACAAGTCCAAATCTACTATTTTTTTGACCATGTTAAACATTAAAAATAAACATTCAATCGAAAAAGTTCTATTTACATTAAATAAATTATTTTAAGACAAAATAATTAGCTAACAAAAACGATGATGGTAGAATATAATCCGTGCGGACCTCTAAAAAAGCTCTAAACGATAAGGGAAAATGAATTGTAAAAATGATATAAAATTACTTGCTGTAAAAGTTCGAATTATAAAGAGAAAAACAATGGGTATTGAAAAATGGAGGATTGAATATGAAATAGAAATATCTAAGGACCTTATTATTAGAGGATTAAAAACTAGAGAGAAAAAATAATGAACTAAAAAAGTACACATTTTGACCAATACCTTTATAATCATTGTATGATACATATTTCGCATTCGATTATTATCACACAAAAAGGTAAAAATTGTATTTTTTTACATTTTTTTTATGTATCCAAATATAATTGAGATAGTATGCTTTCTATAGAGAAAGCGATTAGTCAAAACAGCTCTCGCAAGTGAATCAAAATCAACTGAATGGCCTAACGTTTAATAAAAATATAAAAACAAGGTTACTGACTTAAGCGTACGTAGGAATTTCAGAATTATATCACTAAATATTTTATGAGTCACGTTTTACAATACTTATAGCTTACTATATAAATGAGCGTTAAGTGCTTAATAAACGAAACACGTTCGAGGTGATGTTCATATATTTACCAAACTTCATATCCTTATCCTTCACCGACGTCGTCGTTGTATTTAGTTATTGGCTTTATGCACACAATTATTATTAACATCCTCGCCCCAGAAACATAATATTATATTATACAGGGGCATTAACACACGTACAACATTATTAACCTATAACGACGAGCGATTTTATAGTTGATATAGGTATATACACAATAATATATTATTACCACGATCCCTAAAATGTTTCGCACTTACATATGTATTATGTTATTACTATTTTTATCGAACTAAACCTAAAGTATAGGTACCTACATAATACGCATACACAAACAGTATTGAGCCCGGCTACGATTATAATAATATTTGTAGTTATTATTCACACATAGATATAAAGAAACGGCAGTTTTAGGGATTTCCATCTCCCTACAATAACCTAAACTAACGTTATTTTTATTTGCGAGCTAAGAATTTCAACTTGATTAAACTCTTTAGGAATTCGTTAGGTCTGTTAGAAGATTAATCATTTTTAGTGCTCACAACAATAATCTTTATAAATATGATGTCGAATTTAAGCTCTTTTCAGAAGTAAAATATTATACTGTACTAAAAATTAAATCGCCGAGCAAATTTTATTATACAATCATTTTTTTATGTGAAAAGAATAATTGTTAGTATTTGTGTGTATTTTTTTTTTTTTTTTTTTTATATTAAACCTCGACGACTATGGCCATTGGCATACAAAGGGTTTAACATATAAAGGTTAGTGATTATAAATTATTGATTATGTTGGTCTTGATAATGAAATTGATCATGTGACTTATCAGACAATAGTCTGGGTGAAGCGCTTCTGCCATAATATTTGATACACCAGCTTCCTATCTGTCCATTTCAAATGAACGGCATTCGGAAACAATGTATTTGTGTGTATTAAAGTATTGAAAAAAATAGAATCCTGTAGTTTAATAACTATAAAACATCGAATTTATACAGTACGAGAAACCGTACAAAATTATATTATTTACATTATCTGAAACATTATATTATTATATTATATTATATTTTTGAGTACTTTTTACAAACATTCCAATTAAACTGAAATTTATGAAAAGGTATAGATACCTATTTTCCGCTTAAAGCTCTGCTTACGTTTCCACTCTTCCCTCGGGTTTGTTCAATATATTATGAAAACCTATCCATAATAGACAATTTTCAGAAAATCCTCCGTTCAACGCTACAAAGTTGTATTGTGAATGTACAGTTTTATAGAAAATCGTTCATTTCATATGCATATCATATACTTAATAATATTAGATCAATTACGATCGATATACAAAAGAAGTATTTTGTTTATTTACTATAAAACAGAATTAATTTTGTGATCTACCTAAAAATAATAGTAAACCCGTAACACGAAAAAGAAGGATTAGATATTATACTTTTCCATTGATTAAAAATTGGTTCAATAATGCAATTGTTTAAACATTCTCCATAATGGTAAACTATTTCATTCGGATGATTTAATATAAAAAATAATTAATCAACATATTATACTATCAAATACTGAAAAACGATAACTTATTATAGTTCAGGCCGTATAAAATACAAAAAAAAAAATAAAACAAATAAATAAATAAAACTCTTTATGTATATAAATTAATTACGTTAAAATTTGTTTAGCCATCACAACTTACGATTTGTACGGAATTGAAAAAGATTAAATTCTCATAATTCAAAAAAAAAGTATGAAATCAAAATGACTTTCATCGAAATCTACATTTCCAAACACTTCTAAAAAATCTAAAAAATGTGTGAATTCGTTATTTTCGATATTTTTATATTTCAGTAAAAAAAAAACTCATGAGAAACCTTTCATTTATTAATGCTACACAAACTGTATTAATTTAAAAAGTAAACAACAAAAGTCTGATATTGCTGATGTTTTTGCACTTTATATTTGTACGCTAAAAAGTTTTTAACTGTAGCAAAATTTCTAATAAAAAAGATGTTTACAGATACAAAAAAAAGAGCTTATACTGAGGACAAGTGTACCATTGTAGTTGTAGGAAGTTGGAAAGGTAAGATACATAAAGTAATTTAGTTTATATCTGTAAGCAACGTCAGACCATGAACTAAAAATGATTTGGAGTGAAGTTCGGTTATACATGTTTTGAAAGGCCATAATATTTATACAATTTTCGTCAAACTTTAATTTTAAACTCTTATTAAAAAAACTTATATACTACAATTAACTTTTTTTTTACCACTAAGTACAACTTATAAGGAACCTCCTGTTGAATTTGCAAGCATTTCTCTTAAGTCATTTATAATTTGAATAATATATAACTACCAAAAAAAAAAAAATACATACAAAAACACGAAAATATCAGATACCTAAAAAAATAATCAGAATATTTTGACAATTTTACTACATCTACAAAAGGCCAATATAAATATTTTCTAAAAACAGCAGATTTCTACAATATTTTTTAACCGAATAATAACAAAAAACCTAAATATCGTACACTTTCCTTTATTTCCTAAGATTTTTCCCAGTTTTTCGTAATTTAACTATACGCAAAATCAAACGACTTTTTGTTACTCAAAAACTAGACAACATTTTCTTCCAGAAAATATGTTATTCTTGAAATTCAAACAAAGGTTTTTGGTAGAATGTCATAGTCTTATACATTTTAAATAAATTAAATCTTTGAGCATAGGTTGAAAAAAAACAGTTTTTTTGTTTTCCTAATTTTTTAGGTATGATACTTTAGAATGAATTTCTCTGTCAGTGACTAGATATTAAACAAAGCAAAATCGATTTCTTGTCATTTATCAATTGGACCATTATTTTTGGTAGATGACATCGTTTGCAAAACTTTAAATAATTAAACGTCCCGGTTTAATTACTTCAATTTTTAAACTATGTTTTAGATTCTTTGCTACACTTCGAATCTAAAAAAAAATACAACATGATCAATTTCCACAAAAACCATCAGCGTGGCGTTACGTAAATATTTTTAATTTTATCGACTTTTTTTTTTGGTTTTCCTAGTTATTAGGAGAAGAAAAATTAATTTAAAAACAACCTCTCTAATAGTCAAATGCACCAATAATTGCTATAGACTCAAAATTCTTCAGATCATCTGTGTAACGTTTTTGACCAAAGCAAATTTCTGGTAGAAAACTCGTACAGACCGATACTATATTGGTTCTATTTAATATGTATTAGAAATATTGATCAATACAATATTTTTCTTAATTATTTAAAAAATATTTTCCTTTTGAAAATATATATAATACATGTATTTAATTATTTTTAATATAATTCTCGTATGAAACTGTAAAAGTATAATACAAATGTTTTAATAATGTTTTACAGAAATCTTACAGTAGCAGTTATACAATTTATTTTATAAATTAAAATTTATTTCGTTTACATACGCGTAACAGCAGTCGACTCTAATAAATTACGAATTATTACTTTTTCCTTTTGACAAAAAAAAAAAAACAACGAAGGCTTAGTGTATATTATTATAATTGTTTCATATGCATGGGACATATATCGTGCAGATTTTTTTTTACTTAGTATACAAGTCTTATAAACAATACATTAGAAGGTTCGGGATGAACTATAGTCGATTTTTTTCCTTCAGAATTTAACGGTACATAAATATGCGGAAGCATACACAGTGACTTATTTAAAGTAAACAATATACGGTGGAAGAAAAACAGTAAAGAAAATGTATCTTGTCAGTTTATTTAATTCAACTTGTACGTTTCAACCTTTTGGATGGGTTATACCTATAGATGCACGTAGGTAATACAAAATTCCTGTAAAAATGTATAGGTACGTTTGATATTCATCAAGACCCGTAGGTTACCTAAATTATTGTTGCGTTTTATCTCCAAAAACCGTATACATTTTGTTCATGAAAGAAGTTTTCGAATAAATAATGGGCAAACGTAAATAATTCCCCTATAAAGTTTATAGGCATACTTTGTAAACCTACCTGCCAAAATTTAAACCTGAAGTAATATGCATATATTATACTATTCGGCAATATCGTTTAAACAAAGTTTATAACATTGTTATACACTTATACAATATATTTTACTGTAAAATATATATACTGTTAATTAGAAATTTAAGGGCGGAAATAATCTTCCATACCTAATATTAAATAGAGTAACTATAATAGATAATTTGTTTTAATTTATTATAATATTATAGTTAAGAACACGACGAAGGTAATGTAATAATTTGTTATATTGAATATGATCAAAAAAGTATTACAGGGGACATGTTGAGGGAGAGAGGTGATGGGTATACTATATTTCTTAGGGCGTACATTTTGGTAAAATTATGAGGTGCACAGATATAAATTAGTAATAAATTACTAAATATTATAATTAATTAATTAGTTGTATTGTAAATTATATATATATATATAGTATAATATAATATGCATATCTAGTGCACATACATTCTAGAAGACTTTAAAAATCAGGTTGTATCAAGGAATTTCGAAGAATTTTTAAGGAACTAACCATTAGCGAAAATTGGGAGGGCTTTCGATTATTTTCATGTTCTTTCTGTGTTACTTTTCATTATTGCACAATTATTAAAGAAAACTACAAGATAAATCAAAAAACAATTTTCTTCGACACCAATTAGGTTCAAAATTCAACAAAAAAGATCTCTTGTTGTATTTCTACTTGAGCAATTTTCTTAGTAAAGACGGCAAACATATAAATTAAAAATAATGAAATCGTAACAACGTAAATTTGTCAATTTTCATTTTACGTTATTTTTTTGAATTTTAATAATTATAATTAATAAAACTGCAGAGAAAATCAAAATCAAAAATATAAAAACAACTTTCTTGCTTACCAACTACATTATAAATGCAATAAAAAATCTCACCCGTATTTTTCTATTGTAGTAATATTTTTTGTAAAAAATATAAGCCGTACAAATTTAAAATAAAGGAATCCTAGCGTCGTATTTTGAAAAAAAATCATATTCTTCATCTTTTTTGGTTAGGTTATGCAAAATATTTTAGAACTATATATATATATATATTAAAAGGAACAAAATCAACATCTTTTTGTTTTTAATTGGAATAATATTTCTAATAGAAAACATCGTGTATATAAATTTAAAATAATATAGTCAGCAACGCCTTGACTGCGGCATGCCGTAAATATATGCCGTTTTTTCGATAACTTTTTTTCCGGTTTTCCCAATTATTATGAAAACCTCATAAATATCAAAAAAATAACCTATGCAATTTACCAACTAAAGAAAATCACCTTTCAAAAAAGGTGCTACACGAGGTGCTACTTCAGAGCAAAATTGCTGAAAAGTTGTTCACAGACATGAGAAAAAAAAATATGAAATATAAATGGTACGATACAGGACGTATACAATATAGGCAATATAGTAAAGTAGTACAATGATTATTATAATATTTTATATCTTCGTATATTAATTTCGTAATAGCTTGGACATATAGAAAGTATGCAGTAATGAATATTTCACTTTTAAATATCGATAGGGAGAGAGTAGTGGATACAAACATCGCTCATCACAGTTAATTTTTTTAGCTTCGTTTCGATAACAAAATTTTAAAATTAAATTGAATAAAAAAAAAAAATGTCTAGCCGAAAACTCCACTCAAACCTATTTCTCATTATCAATAATTTATCTTTGCGTACAATTCACAGTACATTATTGTTAACTAAATTACCCTACATAATATTGAGAAAAATAACTATTTAAAAAATTTGTTTGTCTAAATTATCTTTTTCAGGTAATATTAACTGATAAATATTATAATCCCAAAACTGCAGTGAATATTTATGCCCAATACCTTTCCAACTTTGATGTTGGGAGTTTTCATATCCCGATTGTTCGTTTTCTTACGTTTTTTTCCCACTTAAGTGCTTTTATTTAAAAAATGACGTCGAAAATAAAAAGATGACTTTAATTAATATACTATCTAGACAACTTGAACTTTCTGAAAAATTTCTACACGTAAAAATCGGAGTAAGTTTACTAAACAAAAACGTGTCTACAGTCTAGAAAAAAAAATAAATATCTCAGTAAAACCAATAGCTTCCTCTCTTCGCTCGGAATCTAAAATATGGATAATGGAAACGATTCCGTCGCGCAATGTTCCATATTTATATCTATTACCTATACACACAATATATAATGCCATGTAGAGGGGTGAGGGTGAGGTATATTATTAAACACAGTTACATACAAGCCAAAAACATTATTTAGTTACACACGCGTCTGACAAACGAAAACACTTTTGTTGATTCGACGAATAGCGTGGATATTTAACGCGCGGTATCAGCGTTTGCGGGCTAAATAATAAACGTCAGGGGGCATACGTGAGGAACAAGGGGGAGGAGGAGGGGGAGACACGGTCGTACGGCCGACCGAAACGGGCGCGGGATAAGGAGCGTAGGTATAACACACGTATGTACTATGTACTATAGTGGCCGAGGTTGCCATGGAAATCGAGAGCACTGACGTCACATCTGTCGAAAGTCACCTTCCCCTAAACCGCCACCGCTGCCGCCACAGTTTCCCCCGATTACCAACTTCTGCGTTTTCCTACCACCGTTGCTCTTCTATCATTTACCAGCCTATACCGTCTACCCCTATACTATAGTCCTACAACCTAATATACGTCGCCGCTGTATGCAACATAATTTCTAATTTAAATAGGTATACGGAATATATAATATGTACTTATAAATAATACTACAGTGCATTAATTTATTAAGTGATATTGTAATAATTTTGAGAAAAATAACTTTTTTAGAATCGCATTGTTATCTTAATATTCCAATAAACACTTAAAGAAAATATTGTATGCGAATCAATACAAGCAAAATAATTATCTTATAGTTTGTTTGTTTGATTAACTACTTTCTGTTTACTTAGTACCCCTAACATTTGTGTATTATTTAAAAATTCCCTACTTGTGTTTTAAAACGTCTAAAAATCCAATTCTGAAAAAAATAAATAATTTCCTGGATAATGAGTATCTTACGTTATATTGATCACTCTGTATATTTGACATACCTAATTACAATTATATAATTTTTATTTTAGTTTTAAAATTCATAACGCCCAATGAAAAAAAAAAATATTTCAAATAGCTCGTACCACTGATGCGTAAATAGTATTTCGAAAAGATATAATATAAAATTAGAATAACGTAATAATTTAAAACTTTAATGTAACGATAAATTATTAAATAATGTACAATTATTATGAAGGGAGATCAGTTAAACAATTCATTTTTTTTTTTTTTTTTTGTTCAATTTAAATTGAAAATTGAAAGTTTGTAATATTTACTAGTTTCAGAAAAATTTTAACTTTAATCACAATAAAAAAATTGTAACATTAACCTTTTTGTGTTTTACCAGTAAAAGTAAGCTACAAATGATGTGGACATTGTATCGAAAACAAAATATTAACTATATCGAATATAGATTAAAAAAAATTTCAAAGAGATATTTTTCAAATAAAACCAGCATTAAAAATACTAACATAATAATAAATTATGTGTTACATCATAAATATTCGGTGAATATTATTTCTTTCATTCCATTATTTCTTACAAAATGACAATAACTGGCACGCAGCAATGCGGCTTCCACTTTTGCCGACATTTGTTTAATCGGGTATCTCCAATTATTAAAAAAAAAAGAAATACAAAATTAAAAGAAAATAACAAAAAAAACTAAATTTAATTTTCTACCAGAAACCAAACCACCTTTGAAATTGATGAATTAAACAAGTCTTCTAGTTGAAAACATATTTACACGCAATTAATGACAGAACAAAATATATATAAATTATTTTTTTTTTAAAATATGCTCATATTACAGTCAAATCAATAATATATTCATCAATTCAGTTAATATCAAAAAAAAATTAAATAACCACTAAGAAACAGTGCTCAGGAGGGGGGGGCAGGTAACGGAGCTTTTCTAATATTTTTCTTTTTGTTTAGCGTTGTTTTACTAATTAATTCTATGGGTACGACTGGTTATTAAAAATAATACAATTTTCAAAAAAAATGTTTTACTGTTTTAAAAATATTGCACTTATTATATACAGTCAAATATTCAACCTGCGGTTTAGCATGAAGATTTATAATAAACGCCAATTGGTTTTTACAATTGAATCTCACGGTAATTTTTTCTCTATTATATTGTATTTTCGATCAATATATTATGTTAATATAATATATATATCATAAATAATGAATAGTTATTCATTATACCGACATTCACCCCGTTTAAAACAGGAGTATCCCTTTCTTGATCAGCATGTACCGTTTTCTCGACAAACTTCGAATAAGGAGTCTTTTGTCCCATTTTTAAGAGATAGTCCTTTTATAATCCAGTTATTTCCATATTATTATATATGTATAAATGAAAAACCGGTTATTAAAAATATACAATATAGTATACACTCAAGAAAACTTAAAATTCGTTTTGAAAAATAATAAAAACAAATCGATAAGAATGAGGATGAAGATAATCTTTTCGATGAGTATAATCATGTATAATGCAGTCAGTGGCATAATAAATGACAAATTATTGACAATTTATAATAATGGCAGAATAATTGTTTTTATGTATTAAAAAAAGAAGGCTTGATGCCCATATAATTTCAGAAAGAGAAAGATAAGGACATATACTTCGAACGATGGATGGGACACTGCACCAGGTAAGAGGTTGGAAAGGTAGGATATAGAGAGGAATTTAATCTAAATCTGTACGCATCGATTAATCTTCACTAACGAAAAACGATTCAGAGCAAAGTTCAGTTATACATCTTTTAAAAGCTATAATATTTGCAATTTGATGATAATAGATTTTGTAAATTTTTCTGTTTTTCCTACCTTTTTCAATTTATTATGAAAACTCCTGAGTAAATGAAAACAATAAAATCCTTAAAGTACCATCCCTGTAAAATTTTCTTTTGAAAAAGGTGTTAAACGTGAAAATCGGAGCTTAATCTCTGATAGAAAATTAAAAAAATAAAATAAAAAATAGACATCATTGTAAAACCCAATACCTACATTTCTTGCTCCGCTCAGAATCTAAAATATTAGGGATTTTTACATAGCATGTTATTTCCATACACCTTTTAATATTGGTGATCGCCGGACGCAATCGGATGCATACCTGTTAAAACCGAACCCAATCTAAACTCAACAATAGTGAAAAAGGTCAAAAAGGACGCAATCGAAATTTTCCCGGAAGAATCGACAAACTCTATTTTTTTTTGTTTATCTGGCTTTGTGACGCATTTGACTATCTCCGCCTGGAACAGCTATAATTTAAATCTAGTATCACTAAATTAATCAATGATTTTTAATATACCCCTACCTATAAACCAGCCAAATAATTTATTAAAAATACGTTCAACATTACAGTCGGCTGCAATAGGATGACTATGTGACTGCCTACGGACAAATTATAAACATTGTCTACAGGATATATGTTAAATGCAATTACATCGTGTGCCTTTGTGTTGCTACGAATGACGCGGATACTTATATAATTTATAGGCAACAAATAAAAATGTGTTTGTGCGTGAGTTTAAGGACGAGCTGATGCACGCATGTGTGTGTTGTCGACTATAAAACTTACGGTCATCGCTCTGGCCTTCACCACTATATAATTTCACTTTTATATTAACGCCACCGCGGTCGTCGTCGTTATCGACGTGGACACAGGACCAATTCCATTTCGTCCGTGCCAGTCAATCAGATCGACACATCCCATAAATAATCAAAAAACTCGTGACGTTTCTGAAGGCTAAGAGTCGCGAAACTCAGCCCAGTTGACCGTGCGCAAACGACACCAATTTCAAAATCCGATTACCCAGCAAATATTGTGCAATGATACTGTATTATAATTAATTTTTAATATCTAGAAAATATTAGTAATTTGTTTAACTATAAACATTATATTTCGTATAATAAAAATATTATGTACGAAAAACGGTACAAAAAATTAAATTTTTTAATATTCAAAATCTATTATTTTATTACATTTATAAAAATGTAATATTTATCATTAATATAATGTTGGTTTTCGATTGAAAAATAGCATTTCGATGTAATTGAAGTTATTTTAGTGTAGAAACAATGGTAATTTAATAAATATTGATTTAACATAATCAATATTTAAGATTTTTAAATTAATATTAAAAAAGACGTCTTAATATAATGAGGGCGGATGCAGTCATTTTATAAGTAATTTAACGTTAATAGTGATGCTTAGTCAACAATATATATACAGGGTAAATTTATCGTAAAACACTCGTTATCTCAAAAAGTATTTACTTTTTCCGGAATTTTTTTTTTAGAATACTTAAGAGGCAAGCTGCTCTACAATTTTATATTCATGTTATTTATTTATTTTATTTTACCACATAGTATGCACTCTCGGAAAATTACCAAAGTACTTATAATCAGTTGGATGCTATCTATAATTGATGACATAACGAACACTGATAAATCCGATAAAGTTTATTAATTAATGTTTTATACATGTCATTATTAATTACTATAAAGAGTCTTTAAGGCATTCTAAATAGTAAGTTTATTTTGTGTCAAAAACAGACATGATTGTATATTTCATTATAATAGCCGAATCTGTTCATAATTAATTCTCCAAAAGAAACTCAACGTTGCAAAAATATTTGATGTAAAAATTAAAAATATAAAATACCTACGCAACGATATTCCATTAGATAAGTATTCAAAAAAAAATTATTTTACATTAACTTAATTAATAACGAGTTAATTTTGAGTTATATCACGTCAAGTCGATTTGAATGTCTTTCCGGTTTTACATAGTATTAAATTAAATTTACAATGTATACACATTGCAGTACATACCAGATAAATAATAGTTATTTTTTTTAAATTTTCGTGTGTTCCAATATTACTTGGTTTTTGTTTTTGCTTTTGTAAGTATATATAAAGTTTTAAATTTTACACGCACAAATTCTATGCATAGCTTTATATTAAAAAAAATATTATTATATAGTATAATATGTCCTACAGATAAAAATATTATAAGGCTTTTTGTTAAATAAAAAAACTTTTAAAAAATTTGTATATGAATACATAGGTATACTATTAAATTCGTGGCCTTTTGTTTAGAGAAAAAATATAAATACAATGTCCTCTTTAATAATATACGATATAAAACAAAGAAACTTACGTAATTGGTTAAAATATAATAATATTATTGTTAAACATACCTGCAGGAACAAACAAAAATGTACATTTATATTTTTATTTAAACCTGGAAAATTTTTTTATTTTTAAAAAACCAAATATAACTGCATGTATAATACTATATGGCAGTGGTTCACAATCTTTTTAAGATTACGGCCCAAATTTTTCCTCCGAAAATCGATTGCGACCCACATGGTTTCACTTTTCAAAAATTAATTTATGAAAACAACTGTGAAAATCAAAAAATAACCTCTCTGAAGTACCATTCCAACCAGATTCCCTTTCAGAAAAAATGATATACTTGAAAATCGGAGTAAAATTGCTGGTAAAAAAGTTGTTCATAGATAAAAAAAAATATAATAATATGATAATATTAATAAGCCCCATTGTAAAACCAATACATTCCTAGCTCCACTCAGAATCAAAAAACATATATTTCTTGGAATTTATATAATTCAAAACAATTTTCGTGACCCTCTAAATATTGACTCAGGACTCACTGTATGAGAAACGTTTGAGAACATATATTTTAATATATAATCCTTGACAAGGAGAGTCGTTGATATCTAAATTATTTTTTAAATAATAATTGGGAAAAACTATAAAAGACAAAAAATACGATTTTTTTTTCAAATAACGGCGCAATAATTTTATATTTTTTAAATTTGTACAGCTTATGTTTTTTACAAAAAATATTGTTTCAATGGAAAAAAAAAACAAGATACTTTTTTGTTAAAATGTTTATTTAGTTGGTGACCAAAAAAGTTGTGTTTAGAATTTTCTTTAGTTTTTTTAATATTCGTGCAAAACCAAAAGAAACGTAGAGAAAACGGAAAAATTAACAAAATAATTTTTTTTATTATTTTCAATTTCGTTTTCTTGTTGTTATTCACTTAAAAATATTCGAATAGATTTGAAATTTCGACAGAAAACTTAGGTTTATTTTTTCTAGACGTAGTAAAATTTTCAAAACATTTGAGCTATTTTATACTATTTATACACATTTAAACATTGCGAGATTTTTACGTAATTTTTATTTAGTAGGTACTCTGTAGATGTGAACCAAATAAAAATTTAATTTTATAAAATGAAATGCTTAAAAGGAGGTTCATTAAAAGTCATTCTTGGTGTTCAAAAAAAAAATATTAAGTGTAGCGTAGAATTTTCTTTACAAGAATTTTAAAATCAAATTTTAACGAAAATCATAAATATATTACTATCTTTCAAAATATGTATAGTTGAACTTCTCTCCTAATCATTTTTCGTTAGCAATAGCTTGTCGTTGGTTATAGGTATAAATTAAAATATTGTATGTATCCAACCTTTCCCATTACCCATTTACAACAGTGGCCGTATTAGTTCCCATGACCAGCAGTATCAGCTCTATTTGTTTTTTCTATGAACAACTGCCATGGTTAACGATCATATCATATGAAGAAAACTTGCTTCAAAGTATAGAATATAGCACCTTATCTGAAAAGTAATTTTCTCGTGTTAGTACATTGGGGAAGTCATTTTTTATTTCTCACAGTAGTTTTCATATTAAATGGGAAAAACGAGAAAATTTACAAAATGCGTTATTTTCAAATCGTAATTATTACTGCCTTTCAAAATACGTGTAGCTAAACTTCGCTCAGAATCGCTGCGTACAGATATAGGTACATACAATTTTCCCTTTACCTTTCTAATTTCTCATCTACAACAGTAGTTCGAAGTATGTTCGTTTGTTTTAAGTTACCTGTTTACTTATTTCTAGCAGTCTAATATCATTAAATTGCATAGGTATGACATAATTATTTTTAGGGCTGTAAATTAGGATTGTAGGAAGGTTTATTTTGTTTAGCTGATTGTCAAAATAGATTTTTCGACACAATTTTTGAATTGTGTATTATGTACTTAATTTTAAATTTTTAAGGTAAAAATATAAAGGTAAAGGGAAGATTTTTCATTTTTTTCATTCTTAGTTCATTTTACGGTATTCTAATACATTTTTAAATAAATTACATATTTTTTGTATTTACACAGAATGTATATATTATACTTAAATTATATATTTTTGTTTTATACGCTATATACGTGTCAGTAATCAATATGTAAGTACAACGTTTTATTTGTCACAATTTGATAAAGTAAGGCTAACTGTGGGCATTAATTTCGACGTATCAGTAGTTAATTTCCAAAGTATAAGATCTAAACTGCTTTTTAAAGAATTTAAGTGCATTGTAAAACAGACTAAAAAGTTTCTTAAATTCATATTCCTAATATTATTTTTATTGAATTCTAATTATATATCTATATTATAACCGTAAATATATTTAAAGAACAATCTAAGTTAAGTTTACCTAAGTTACTAACCTAACATTTATGTGTTTACATTAGGATTAAATATTATATAGTCCTAATTTTATAATTTGTTTTCTGTTACTTATAAAAAAATTAATTTTTTCGTAATTTTTTTATTTTCTGAAAACAACGAAAAATCCATTTTATGTACCTATATATAGTTTTTGGATTAAAAAATGCTCTTTTTCATGTAAAATAAAATGAAAGGTATGCATTTTCTTCCAGGTGGTACTTAATTTGAAACATTTTTAGATGGTTACATTATTTGTTTTCTTTGGAAACTGTCGATTTCGACAAGTAAATATCCACGTAGTATACTATGCACTACTATGCATACTAAGTATTACTTATGCACCATTTTTCCACTTAATTGTTTGAAATTCTGAACTTTTTTCAACAGTTAAAATGTCAATATTTTTCCAACGTTTTTACATTAAAATTCAATGAATTTTATAATACACAATTGTATATTTAAATAAATAATTTAAATGTACCAATAATGCTTGTAACTGACCTTAGTCCATAGTATTATTTTAAAACAAAAATGTTTGGAATCCCTCTTTATTTTCGCATTATTTAATTTAAAATATGTATACGATTTTAATAATATAACCATTTATCTATGTCACTAATATAAATATAATATTTTTCACAGACCAAAATATTGTTAAAAAGTAAAAATTACAAAGACACCGAAAATTGCTCGATTTTTTTTTTATCACAGGTTAAATAGTAAATAGTTTTGATTGTTAATTTTAAAACTGTAATCAATAGTTATATTATTACTATCGGTTTACTTCATCATTGATTTACCTAAAATATTATTATTATAAGAACTTGTATATTTTTAAATTTCGTTTAGCTTGGGTAATATTTATTTTACAATCTTGATTTTTGTCCACTTATTTGTGTACATATATAAAGACAATTTTTAAAACTATACTATTCGACATTTTCTCTTGATATAATACAGGCTATTGTTTTAAGCGCACCACATTCAACATAATATATTATTACTTAAGCTAGACGGTTCTCATCTATCAGACTAAATTTTATATTGAAAAACTCTGTATAAATACTTTAATAAAAAATAAAAACATTATAAAAAAAAAATGATGACGCAAATTGCATACCTATAAATTGACTAGTTTAAATAATTTATATTATTATTACATTTGACCACACGGGTTCAGCCACCACCGTGTGTGGTGTAAAGATAAAATGTGTGTTTAAAGATAAAATAGTACCTATTAGAAAAATCGTATTCCTCGGCATTCTTCGTATTATTTGTCGGTTTTATGTAAATATAATTTTTTGACCTATCTAAAATATTTGAAAATCGAACACGAATATAAGTTAGCTTAAATCGTGTTATAACTTATTATAAGTTTTAGTTGTTCGTAAAACATATAATTTTCCTTTTACTTTTCTTAATAAATGGAAAAAATTAACAATAGTTCGTTTAATTTTGTTGATTTATGGAACACCCCATCAACAGTTTCAGCTATTTTTACTATTTTGTCTGAAAAAGTTGTCGCTCTCTTGAAGTTAGAACAAATAATTGTTCGCTACTGCTTTTATGAAGATCTAGTACCTACCTATTAATATACTTGTATATTTAAAATATTATAATAGATTTTTAATTTTTAAAAAAAAATGTTTATAGGTGAAGAGTAAACTATATCAAAAAGTAAGTAAATAACATTATTTTTTGATAACAAAATTGAATCGAAAAAATAAATTTATAATATACCAGTATTTAATTTACTGGATATTTAACGAAAATTTAAATTTTTTCTTGATTATTATGTACGTAAGTTAAACATAGTAAATTAAATTTTTAACTAATATATTATTATAGGGATACTTACAGGGATCCTGCAGTGTTTAATTCATTCGTAATTAAGTAACTTTGTAACTTCTCCTTTAACCTTACGATGATATCCGTCATACGAATGCAATACTAATTCTTACATGGTTTAAGAAATTTTGTTTTTACTTTGTCCTTATTATTTTAAAAACAAGTCAATTTTTTTTTTTCCGGCGAACTCTGACAACCGAAATTTTATATTCTGGGTGAAGCAAGGAAAACATTTGTTTTACTATGTTACATTTATTTTGTGTCTGTAAATAAGTTTTCTGCCATAAAATATGGCATGAATCAAAAAATTCTATAGGAACTTTCTTATGACATTTTTAATCTTGTTGGTGCATTGAGAAAATTAATTTTTGATTTTTCTAGTAGTTATTTTGATAAATCGAAAACACTACTTAAAATTGGTATAATTCTTGTTGATTTTTAGATTATCTGCCTTTATTGGTAACAAAGGGAAAATATGACTAATATTGTTATAATTTGCTCAGAATTGTTTTCCATTAGCAATGGTTTATCGCTGCTAACAGATTAAACTAAATACTTTATATACCTTTACAATTTCCTTTCTAGAATAGTGACATACGCATAAATTAGCCCGGTCTATTAAATTCTAGAATTTTAGAAATATTATCATTTCTATGCACACACAAAATCAATACAAAACAAATATACATATAAATAATAACATGATACATTATGTTCTGAAAAATCTAAAAATTTAATACTTACGCTGTGATTGACACAGCTCTTTTCGTTCAAACGAATCAAACAATCAAAAGAAAAAAACTTTATTATGTTGATATTATACAGACTCTAAATAGTAGCGAGAAATGTATTAATTTTACTATGATTTGAGTTAAAATATATAGTTTACAAAATAAAAACAGATGACATAATATTATCAATGTCATATGGACAAAATATACAATATTTATATAATAAACAGAAATTCTTTGAACCAGACAATAACGTCAATGTGTAACGATGAAGGACAAAAAAATAGAAGAAAAAACATAAACAAATTATTTCAGATATCATTAAAAAATTAAGACTGGGCTATAAATGCACGAGGAAATCAAAACCCACTAATATAGGCAGACCGGAATGGAATCCAATATAAAAAAGGCTTTTGGAGGAGTTAATGAATGAGCTGAACCAGATTGGAAAATGTTGGCAATGAACAGTTTGAGGATTGTTTTGTATGGAACATAACCATTAAGGGTTTTATAGACCACATAAATCGTCCCCCTAAAAAAAAACCCACTGAACAAGATGTATTTTATTTATATTTTAATCTTAATATTATTTTAAAAATCTTTGTGAAGTATAATAAAATAGTTTATTACATTTTACAAAAATTATAATTATAGCTCCGGTATAATTTATTTCCAAGTACAATGTACATAGAGTAAACTCAGTCATTGTTCTGTACATTATATAACATGCGGGCACAACGATTTGTCAAACTTAACACGTCATATAATAGTAAAGTCCATGTAAAGTGGACGATTATTAAAGTCACTTAATATGACCGCCGCGTTGAATATTTTGTACGGCCCGGTCGAGGTGAACTTAGAAGTGGATTTATGGGAATACAAACGGTATACGACCGCAACCGCAGAATGGAAAATGTTTATTTTAAAACTACACCTAGCTAGATAAAAAAACGAAAAACATACCGAAACTTATCATGCTACGTATGACGTACGTTAACAGATTATATATTATTAAAATCCTACCAAGGGAATTGTATAATTATGATTACCGGATTTGGGAACTTAAAGCATCCTAAAACCATTATAAAAACCATTAAAATCGTAATAAACCTTCATTAAAGTGTTAAAAAAGCACTATTCAAAATATTATGAAAATCTTACGACGTTTAGAATTTTCCAGCATACATTTTTTCTTAAAATGTCAGTCTCTACAAAAATTCTTAACTGAATTACAACAAAAAAGTCAAATTGAAAATAATTAAACCATTATTTTCGTAAACTCTCCCGTTTTTTCTACGACTTTACTGATTTTTCCTAATTATTATTAAAACTGTTTGAAAAATCAAAACCGGCTCATAAACAGGATAAAAAATTCTACAAAAAAGGTATTTTTACTACAAAATACCTTACTTAAATCAAAAGAACATTATTGGTGGTAATAAGATTTCTGAAAACATAGTTTGTAATAATTTAAAATAGCAAAATCTTAACACCATATAATTATCAATTTTATTTTAGTTTTTAGTTTTTCCCAAATGCAAGGTTAGAGATCGAGTGAAGTGGAAGTTTAGAACAAGGATGATTGACGTCAAATAGTTGACATGAAAACAAAGGACTAGAAGAAGAATCATTGAATATTTTTGTTCGTATCAGCGATATAAAAATTGAGTGCGTGCTATTATGTGGTTCGGCACAATTTCTTATAAAAATGAATTATTATATTTACTAAACCAAAGAGATAAATTTTTTGTTTTTGATTGATAAGTTCATCTGGCACAGTGAATTATTTTTTCTAGAAATCAAGTTTGATGATATTGTGGTGAAAATAACAGAAAAGTAGCATGAGCTTTAATAATTTGATTTAATATAAAATGCTTTCTGGGATTCTGTCATGTTTATTTAATTGCTAGACTGTTCTATAATTTCTTTTTTATGAATTCACTTTACAGTTTTATGAAATCATTTTTAAAAATGTTTTATTCATACCACCGGTATTTATTTTGTACCATTAAAACTAGTGAAAATAAAAACGTAAAATACTGGATTGGTGCGAAAAAAGTTTTTTTTTTTTGCTATACAATAGAATAGTTTGTATACCTAAAATAAATACTTATCAATAACACCACTGGGTAAGTGTATAGATTCAGCTATCAAAAGCTAACAATTTTATTATTATTATAAAACACGGTGAGTTTTTTGTTATAATAATAACATTATTATACCATTATGCGGTAAACTTTTCTGAGAAATGAATGTCAAGTTGAACATTTCGCGAGTTGAGTGTATATAAAAATAGTAAAAGCCGCAGCTGAGTGGGACATTTGACGGTATAGAAAAAGCAATAATAATATAACTACAACGCAACTTTACTATAATAAGCCACACACATCGACTGTTCCAGTATATACACATACGTCTATATGAAAAATATCTGGTAAAAATATTCGGAGAATAATAATATTATCTAGTCAAATAAAGTAAACTAGAATATTGTGATATCATTATCTGAAAAACAACTGATTTGAATACCCATTTAAAGAAAAGATAGTTTTCTAGTTTTGATGATCTCTAAAATATTCTTATCTCCAAACGTTATTATCTGTTGTTCTTTGTTATATTTGTTACCTAACTTAACCTTTTCTATATTTTGCCCATGGGATATCCATAATATTATACGGTATTTGGTTTTTATTTTTTAAACTATCTATAGCGGCATGCAAACAACTATAATTTTTATTTTATGACCCGATATCAATACATATAGATTAACAGTTAACACTGGTCATTCCGAAACATACAATTTTTATAAAACGTGTATACTCGTAATATTAAGAATTAGACCTCATAATTGTATATAAATACTTAGACTTTAAATACTTTCATAAAATCCTAAAAACCATTTAATTTAATAATTTTATTATATCAGCTTAATTTTAGTTCTGATGACGTACCTAAACTATACTGAAAATTCCAAAAATGCTTTAGATATTTTATTTATTTAATTCGCCTAATAATGGAATAGCGGTTTTTCATTATTAATCCATTCCCGCGTGGAATGTCTCCTGTAGACGTATATTATTTGGTTTTTTCAGAGACGTTATATAGTTTTCATTTTAAAATACCAAAAGTTATTATATAAGTTTGTTATATTATACTACATGACACTATATTTGAAGAAAATAGTACACATATTCGAATAGAAGAAATAATATCGTCTCCAGCATTCTTCTCTGGTAGGCAAAGCATTTATGAACATATACAAATCCAGTGTTGAAAAATAATTTTAGCCTAAAAAAAGTACGATTTAGCATAAGATGCCTAAAATGAAAATTACTTTTTGATTTTCCTTGAATTTTTCTTAATAAATCTGAAAAATTGGTGATTTTTGGTATAATTTATGTTTACTTCTGGATTGCTTTGGTAAAAATATAACTTATTAATACTTTAATCAAATCGTTTTTCGTTAGCAATGATTTATATCGTTGTGAACAGATAAAAATTGAATAACTGTGGAATACAAAATATGTCCTACATTTCCAACTTTCCATTCACAACAATGGCACATTCATTATAAATATATGCCTTTTTTTTTCTTTAGTATTTGAAGCCCTTGGTTGAAATATTATAATATTATTGGGGCAAAATATTGAAAATAAATATAGTTAATATTATTCTCTTTAAAATATAAAGAATATCTTGCTAAATATTATATTATAAGCACAGATTTCCGTTAAATATGTTATACTACACTATTATATTTTCTACTTATATATATATAATATTATAAACGTATAATAAAACACTTTTGTAAACAAATTTACTTTTATCTCACTGTATAGTAGCTGAATTTTTGTTGGTTTTGTGGTAAGTATTAGGTAGTTCTTTCACTATATTATATACGTGATGTATAAAGGTTATTGTTTTTGTTATTAATTTTATATTCCGTACTTATTAAAATGTACTATTTTTCTAAAATATGTATCAATTATTAAACTCTATGTTATAATAGTTTTTTTATTATTTTTAAGCGTTTAATGTTTATTGGATCGGAATAATGTAGTATAATTTAACATTAAAATAGTAGTGTAGTAAAATATATGTATACTGCAGTTTCTTCCACACTTTCGCTATTCCACCTGCACTTATAACTAAATTTTATCAAAAACAAACTCTATACTAGTTCAGTAATCTGTAATAATATTATAATATTGTCAAAAGAATATTTTGATTTTAAAAATTACGGACAATTTTTTTTAGAGATCATATAATACCAATATTAAATTATGGATTCTTATATTAATAAGAAGTTCTGTATAAACAAAAGGCTTGAAGGCTTGAAGGCAGTACAAGCTGTGCACTCGTACAGGGCCTCGCGTTGTGTTACAATCATCACTGATACTTTCACATAATTATTTAGAAAAATATAAATGAGATAATAAACACAGACAAATTATAAAGATTTACCTACACTTGGAACTAAAATAAAAATAAACTCAAATCAGCAAATTAAAGACCCGCAGTCTATTCAAATTAATAATTACATATAGATTTAAAAATGGCCCCGGACCCTTATCACAAGTGTATATTGTGTAAGTATTTGTGAAATTTGTTCAAAAACATTTTCACGTATCGAACAAAAAAGTACCCTTTCAAAGGAAGTTTAGTATTTTCACTCGTTGTAAAAATAAAATTATATTTAAGATACTTAATGCTTTATTATTAATTTTCAATTTACTAGAAATGCGACAGTAAAAATTCAAGATTATGTGGTATTTTTTTTTACAATTAAACAAAATCCCGTTAACTTTTTTTACAAATATACTTTTTGTTAATATTCAACTAAACAAACATGTTCTTTAATTCATAATAGGCTATTTTACGCTACATAATACTTACTTTGTGATAAAACGATTTTTCGACACAAAGTTTTGAATGTTCAAAACTGCTCTCACTCTAGCTGACGTATCTACCCAGTCTCATCCAGTACAGTCCATCTACTGTAAAATTACACTTCCTTTTTAACAACATCAAAAAAGAAAAATATAGCGCAAAAGTTCACTGAATATAAATTAAAGCTCAAATGAAAAACCTTGAAAATTACATGAACATTGTAGTATTAAAGGTACATTTTACGTTCTTGGTTTTATTCTTACTGACTATATAACAAAGTCATACGAGAATAGTATAATAACATAATAATATTAAAGGTACATAAAATAAACGTTTTATTTTATTTTGAGTTAGTTTAGTTAGAATGAAATTTATTTTTTTCGGCAGTCGCCTGCGTAACTTTTATAATAAAGTGATCGATCGGCTGGGCGGATTTTTCGTTATTGCGTTTCATACTTAGTTTTATATAACGTATGTGTTTTTTTTATTATTTTACGGACATCTCATTTATTTCCCTAAAAGTTATTTAAAAACAATAAAGTTCGTCGGATTCAGAGATTTTGCGGGACCGAGTACTACGATACAAAATTGTGTAAACTAATAGAAACAATATAACTAATTATCACTACTGTTATTCAATTTTTTTTTTTTAAATTAAATTATTATTATTATTGGGATATTTTAACAAAGCTCTTACGTCCCAGAGTTCTTTCTATAAAACTGAAAATTTAAACAATGCTTATATAAAAAAAAACAGTTGTAACTTATATGAGTCAGAAATATGGACCACGCTACGTAAATCTGTTAAGAATTCATTATAGTTGTATTTTAAATAACGCTACTTAGGAAAATACAATATGGTCTATGTAAATACAGGGGCATATAGAAATTGAAAAAAAAAAATCAGTAAAAATGTATCGAAGCTTAAATATTATGATCTTAAGGAAAACACGCAGGGTCGTCATTTGCGGGATGTAAGGGTATACAAATATATCCAATGTATTTTTTTAGCCCACCAAAAATGTGTAGATATAGTTAATTTTATATAGTTTATTTTCTAAAACTATAATTTTGTGATGTTTAAAAAATGTTTTGTCATCACTTATAATTTTAACGGTATCAGAAGAAATAAAATCCGTAATAAATAATATAATATTTGTATCATAGTACCAACTCTAAAATAAAGATAAATTTGTTAAATTAAAGTGTAGACGATTTTCATTAATGTACTTTAAAATGTACGCTTACACATATTTATGCATATTATAATACACGTAATAAAATTATGTTTATTTAAAATACTTAAAGGTATTGTTCAGTTGTTACTACCTATATAATTTTGTTTTAACTTATTATATTTATTATACTATACATAATATATTGTTTGTTCTGATAATATTTTAATATTTTGTGGTTAATATCAAGTAAATAATCAATATTAAATTAATTTAAAGTACGTTTTTTAATTGTATTAGATATTTGAATATGTGATAGTTGAAAAATAGAGTTAAGTATAAAAATTATTGATTTTATGCTTAATATACTACGAGAGCAAATTTCAAGTTGATTTTAATTTTTAGTAAAATATATTTTACATCCCATGAAAAAATTTGAAATTACGCCCTTTTTGACATAACGATAAAGCAACCCTGGTGAGCTGATCAATGGTCATTTATGGCGTTAAGAGGAACCGTTGTTAAGAGCGTGCTACAAAGCATACCACAAGTGAAAAGACCACCGGGCTGCATACGAGTTGCGGTCGTAGGCGATTTTTAATATAAGTAAATATAACAGTTGCGGTCATCCTATTTATAGTGTGTATCCGAGTTGTGGTTACCTCATTTATAGTGTATATCCAAGTTGCTATAACTTGTTAAAAATATCCAAATTATTCGATAAACACATTTAAAAATATAATGTACACAGATCATTTATGTAAGAACACCACTACATATTTATAGTGTGAAATATGAATATGTGAAGTCAATTTCTTTTAAATTTGTACCCACAGAATTTAAATTATTAAATACCTACTCGATGTCCCGCACTGTCTTGCCCGTGACAAAATAAATACCCCTACTATTATTATGACATAAATTAAATTATTATCACTATTTATGTGTATATCTAATATTTATAACAGTTTGTCGTCACATTATTATTTTATAGTAACAAAACTAAATATTAATAGATGTTTTTCTCTGTGTAACCAAGGTAACCCATAAATCAACATAAATTATTCGATTTCTGTACCAATAATCCCGTGTCAACTCCCTTTAAGATTTGAATTCGTGGACATAGCCTATGCTACCCAGGATTAGTGTAGCTTTCTACCAGTAAAAATAAGAAAACCTAATAATAATAATTTTTCATTATGTTACCTAGGTAACTCTTAAATCAACAATAACGGATACACAGTATTGGACGTTAATTTTCAACATTTTTAAATAGTGAATTAAAATTTAAAAACAAACGGACATATTTCGTAAAATGAATGGGACACTATTGTAAGTGAGAAGTTAGAAGGTAGAAGAGAAGTATATGTATATGTATATCTGTATACAAAGATTAATCATTGCTAACGAAATACGATTCAGAGTGGAGTTCGATTGAACATGTTTTGAAAGGCTGTAATAATTACGATTTTTTAAAATAACGCAGTTTGTACATATTTTCATTTATTTTTCCGTTTATTATTCCGTTTATTATCAAAATTCCTGAAAAGTCAAAAAATTCTGATAGAAAAGTTGTAAAAAAAACTTCATTGTAAAACTAAAATATTCCTCACTTCGCTCAGAATCTAAAAAGTAAAAACTACTTAACCTATAACCACTGCGGTAATATATGAAATCTACAGATGAAATTTTTATAATCAGTTCAGTAATTCTGAATATTACACCCTACATACAAACAAATTTCTCTTTTTTATAATATTTATGAAAATATACTTTAAATAAATTTACATTTTACATTTTTAATAATTTTTCCAAAAAAAATAAACATTTTTGTACATGCTTACCAATAAATAAAAGTTTTGACAATCTAAGTCTGTTATATTTACATATCAATGAAAAGGAAATTTTGATTAAAAAATTGTTTTACATAAAATAACATAAATTTAATATACTATAATAATAAAAAAAAAAGTAATATTATTTCGCATTTAGTATGTAGACCAATAATTCAGTAATAGCAATAAGTAGGTATATTTTTTGTTGGTTGACCTCAATTAGTACATATTTTTCGATTTTGACTACAACTAGAAAAAACCAGGGGGGTGGACCACCGGGATTTTACCCAATTATATGTTTTTAATATACCTGTATCAATATATTTACTTAGTTTTAAAATATATTATATAATAATAATAAATATATTCTAGGTTGTATAATTTATTTAATTTGTAAAACTAGCGCAAAAGATTTCAAAATTAAAGTTTTGAAACTCAGTGATGTGATGTTTCTGATAGATAAAATAAAAAATTAGAATTAAAAAAATTAATAATAAAATATTGTACTTCTTAAAAAATTGCACTATTTAATATATTAATGATTTCAATTATATACCTAACACATCTAATACCTATAGAAATATTTATTTACTTCCACTTCAATACATGTTATACGATTGTGTAAACCAGCGTTTCTCAAACTGTGGTACGTAACTCACTGGTGAGTTTCGAGTCTATTTTGAGTCGTAAAAATTGTTTTAATTTTATAGATTTCAAAAAAATGTATGTTTTTAGATTCTGAGTCGAGCGAGGAACGTATTGATTTTCCAATGTTTATTTTTTTTTTTTTTTTTTTTACAACTTTTCAAGCAAACATTTCGCCCTACACTTAATTATTAAAAATGCATTTGTAAAATTATACAATATTAATTATAAACCTATAAAGTAATAAATAATAAAAGTAACAAACAAATGTTGTATCTTTATAACTACTTTTTGAAAAGCGAAACCATGTGAGTCGCGATAGATTTTCAGGGAAAATTTGGGTCGTGGTCTTAAAGATTGAGAACCATTGGTATAGACATTTATAGCAATCCTTACAATATTCTCAAAAAAAAAAAAATACATTTATTGGGCTTCAAGGAAGTAACCATCCTACACGCCCTCCCACTCATACTTATACACCACATTAAAACTGGAAATCTGAATTTAAAACTCCAAATATCTTCATTTAGAATAAACGTCGCAGATTTTGGTCTCCGAAATTACAAATGCTTATAAACTTTGGAAAATCTAAATTTTTCCATACACCAGGTAGTCTTATAAATTGTATAACAATAATATAATTATTTTAATAAAACTGAACTATAATATATTCGCCAGCCCATCGAAATTGTATTTAAGTCTTGAAAATTACATTCAAATTGCCAATGTGCAGCTCTTAATGTCATTTCTTATAATCATATTGACTTTACGCCTCCACTACCGCCGCCGGCTTATTATATGATGATAATATTATTATTGTCGCTCTTTCGCGTAATACGGTAGTACGGCCCGAGGGAACGATCGCAACCGCACTTGCGTTTATACCATAGTTTAAATCATATACGTACGTATAAGGTGCTAGATCATTTAGACCACCGTGATTTTGATCTTGAATCCGGTCGCTTTGAAATGTGAGTCAGTCGCGGTCGGGTCGATAGTTATAATCTCGTCTCCAATAGACACTGTTAAAAATTATTATCGTATACGATAACGCAGCAAATAATAATTCCTAATAATATCATTATTATATAATATAGTCATGGTTATTATAATGATAAATGGTTTTATTACGTACCCCGCATCATATTCGTATAAATAGAACACTTATCCGTTATTAATCCCCAGTCTCTAGTTCTCCGCAAAACATAAAACTGATCGTCTGTAAGAGTATCTAATTTACGATGAACAGTGATCACTTTAGTCATACTATTATGATGTACCATGAACATTACGCAAAAACTATAAAAGACACACACTATAACGTCCAAAAGCATTTTGGAAAATGCATTTATAATTGGCAGTCATTATAGCGTTAGTTTAAACCATACACTTGTTAATTAATTTATCAATTTATCTATAAGCATTAAATAATTGAACTATTTAATTTTTTTAATAAACTCACTAAATTAACTTAGTTTAAAATAACTATAAATGTAAATTAACTTAAGTTCATTAAAAGTTCAATTGATTATTGATTTTATCAGCTTCACAGACAGTTTCAGTGATTTTATTAGACATTAAGTTAGGTATGAATTAACTATATACTATTTAAATAAATAGGACATCATAGTAGAATTTACCATCTGTGTATAGTAATATATTAACAAAATAAGCTTATACTACTGATGAATGCGCAACAAAATATTTTCCAATATTTATGCACCCCCGTATATTAGCAGCTGTTTGGTATATTTTTCACGTAAAACGTAACATAAAATATGGTCGTAAAAGGTAGAAAACGATACCACAACACTAAGAATCCCATGATCTTAACTCATTGCCTTTGTAACGTGTTTTGGTTTTCGGATCCGATCATTTCATACGTACAAAGTAATAGTACATTAAAATTGGTATAGTTATAAATTTTTTTTAGAAATTAGTTTTTGTATGATAAGTTTTATTTTAAGTTTGGTAGTGGAGTGGGGGATTTATTGATCTTACTACGATGTGTCTGATTTTTGGTTTTTTTTTTGTGTGTGTCTGTAAGCAAATTTTCTCATTAAAAATGCTAAGATAAATTTTTTTTTCATTTTAGATTCAATTGGTGCATTAATAAGAGATCATTTTTGGATTTTCTAAGTAGTTTTCATAAAAATTGGGAAAACCCCGGGAAAGAAAAACAAAGAAATAATTTAACCGTTTTAAAAATATTCTAACTATTTTTGAGTTATTTGTAAGCATTTGATATTTTCAAGTCATTTTTTTAGTTTTTATTTGGTAAGTATTTTATAAATTAAATTGGAGAAATATACCTAAGAATAAATCAACGGAAAACAGTATGGAGAACGACCAGAGAAAGAAGGAAAAATGTATTGGGCATATAACGAGAAACAATGAACGGATAACGACAATAATAGAAGGAAAAGCTGGAAGAGGTAGATCAAAAACACCGTTTATGAAACAGATTATAGAAGACATAGGAAAAACCAATTTCAAAAAACTAAAAATAGCTGTAATGGATAGGGACAAATAGAGGTCCATTAATGTCATTGAACCAATCAAGGATTGTAAAAAAAAATTTAAAAATATGGAATACATTTTTTAGCTGAATAAATTTATAAATATACAGCTAAATAGCTAAATAGCTAATAGCTAAATAAATTGAGCTTTTAAATTGACCAATTTTAAAATAAATTCAACAAAAGTTATGTTAAATTTAAAAAAAAAGATAGTGTTGCGTAGTAATTTTTTTTATAAGCGTTTGAAGATCAAATGTTAACAAAAATGTACAACACTATAAAACATGTATAAATGAACTTTATTCTAAGTTGGATTCCATTAGTAATTATTTATCGTTACGTATATGTATATAAATTAAATAACATTGATCAATCCATCCTAAATTATTTTCCCTTATTATTAAGATAACCCAGAAATCAACAAAAATCTTAAAAAAAAAATTCTAGTTGATTTATTAGGAAAACTACAAAGAAAATAAAAAAAAATGCACCAAAGAAAGTTACTTTAAACATTTGATTGGAGCAAGATTTCTGGTAGAAAAATTGTACATAGGACACGAAAAAAAAAATCATACTCATAGTAAAACCAATAAATTTATCATTTGACTCAGAATTTAAAAAACCGATCAGCTGGTAGGTAGATATATATATACAGTCCAACAGAATATGATCGAAAAAAATTTTAAATTAGATTTCATTATGTGTACCTGCCTGCAATAAAATTTGGCGGCCAATATAGTATCATCTACCGAGAACATTATACGGGGCAAATGTTTTGGCGCCCGACAATACCCGCGAGCGGACGTTTCAAAAGCAGACATAGGTACGTGTCCTGAACAAGTTGAATAATAATTATTATTTCGACGAGTCGAAATATCAATAATAATAATTATTTACCTCCGCCGCGTTTTACCGTCGTACTACAATATTATATAATATTCCTACGTCGTCCTTGTTGTTATTAAGGACCGGATATAAATAACCTAAAAAAATTAAAAAATATGCTCTAAAAATTAGCTGAAAATGCTTTTCAGCGAAATAATACCCTTAAAAAAATATCCAAAACTGCTAAAAATGGAAAAACAGAGGAAAATAAAAAAAGTTTCAATTTTGCTGTAGTTATTTGTTTGAGCTGGGTTCACCACAGATGTGAACATAAATAATATCAGGACGTTATCGAAATTATAAACAAAACGGTTGTTAATCTGTATTGATGAAAAATATCTGTCAGATCAATTCTACCTATTAAATCAATTTCATGGCAGTAAAATTTCTTGAAATTGTATTTTGAGTTACCTAAATTTATATTATTAATTCGTGTAATACATAAATATGCCCTTATAACTCATAAAATTATCGACAAATTCTATAAAAAAAAAAAAAAAATGCTCTAAAAATGGAAAAAACAACTAAAGTGTAAAAGCCACAGTTGTAGATAAGAAGTTAGGAATCATAAATATACAAAGCGTTTTAATTTTTAACTGTATGTAATGATTATACAGCATTACTGACGAAATACAATTCTGAACATATTTTGAAATGTCGTGATTTTTACGATTTTTATTCAAGTTTGAACTTTAAATAAATATATAAAGCAGCAGTGCTGTCCGAATTACCCTCTCTAGGCTGTCATCCCAAGAATTACTAACCAGAATGGTTTAAGAATTGTACCATGTATAGAAAAAGTTATTATCAATGTTTTGTAAACAGTTTCAGGTCTCAACGATTTTTTTTAACCAAAATACAAAAAAAAAAACTATTATTGCCTACCCTAGATGTTTTTTTTTTAAACTATAATGAAAAATACTCGAAAAATCAAATAATGACTTCCTTAATATGCCAATTAGATCCAAAATTTAACCAAAACCGTTTCTTGTATTTTGTTGATCAGAGCACGATTTCTTATGGAAAAGTCGCTTATAGGCACAAAAACAAAAAATAAATAAATCCCACTCATCATAGAGCAGGAATTGAAAATAAGTGACAAGCGTACCAAGCATGGCATGGGTGAAATTTTCGATGGCACCGGAAAGACTAGCATGTGTCCATAAATATTTTTTTAGATTTTTAGATTACACATATTGACAGAACTAAATTTTCGATTGTATATTAATAATCTGTATTTTATTTATTATTCTATCAAAAGTTTTACGATTTCGTTGTCAACAATTTTCTCTTTGACTTATGCTTACGAGAGTCTATTTTCCGTATTAAATTATGTGCGCTCTAAGACTAGAAACAGATTAACCGAGAAAGAGGCAATCAAAAATATATCACCCAGACATAACAAATTTTCCAAGTAAAAGGATGTAAAAGGTTCCTTACAAACAATGAAAGTTCATTTTTCCATAATTACCTACTACGATTAGTTTTATATTTATATTTTGAAATAAATTCTCTGTGTAATAAACAGTAATAATGATAATAATGATACTAAAATCATCATAGATAATATACATCATACTTATTAAAATAACTACTAGCAGGGTTGAACATTTTTTTTAATTGTATGATAAATTAGGACATTGAAGAAATCGTTTTTGCCAAACCTGTTATAAAGAAACTGATACATTTCCTCGCCTCATTCAAAATCTAAAAACGCAAACATCATAGTAAAATCAATAAATTCTTTTCCACGCTCACAATCTAAAATATATGGTATACAATTTATTAATCATCCCTACTCCTCTGGTTTAAGTTTTAAACTGTTTAAACTTATAATCAGTGTATTGAATATTAGCTAGTAAATTGCGTACCTAAATATTAGAAAACTATTTTATCAAATCTGTGTTTTAAATAAAGAGAGGTGAAGAATATTGCCTTTCTAATATCAAAAGTAACTATTCATATTTAAGATATAAAAATACAGGGGTGAAATTTTGAAAATAATATTAAAATAAAATTTAAATTATTCCGTACATTTTCATGTAACGATTGAAAAAAAATCGTTTTTAATCAAATTCTCCGAAAAAATCGCTGGACTACGATAAAAAAATGTCACCCTATATGGTTTTATGGTAAAATATAAACATTTTTAGCAAGGCCGGGTCGGAAAATATCGAGGCACTGTACAGTCAATTTTACGGAACTTCGATTTTCTGATTTGACCTTCCTCTTCCCTTTTTTGTTTTTTCAAATTCTAAGTAAATTTTTTCAATTTATCTTATTCCATTAATTTTAATTTATATTTTTCTAAATAATCATGTGAAATTATGAGCCATGATTGAGAAGGCAACGCGATGCTCTTAAAAACACTGCAGTGCTCTGTACACTAGCACAGCTTGCACTGCCTTCACGCCTTGGCTATGAAGATAACACTGCTCTAGGTAAGGTAGGATAGAAATGTAGAATGTACAGACTAATTAGGTTTATATACTGAATGCAAAGATAAATCATTTAAAAGGATAAATGATTCTGAGTAGCATTAGTAGAGATTTTACTACGTATCCAGTATGTTCCAGAAATTAACAAAATTAAAAACAATGTATCTTCATTTATTGTAGTTTTTAAATTTAAAGAAAAAACGTTGATAATTTAATTAATTTTTCAATTAAACAGAATGAAGAATCCGTATCTTTTAAGGCACGATTCCAAAAATGTACAGCCTCTTACTAACCAAAAAAGTATTATTTTAACGAAAAAAAAAAAAACCAAAATAAATTAGAAAACTTGGCAAAATGTTCCAGATAAAGAAGGAGATTATGAATAAAACAATAAAAATAGTTTGCTCGTGATTACTAGTCGGCGATGGTCATTGGGTATTATTTCGTAATCCCAAACACAATATTGTATAGCCACAGTAAAAATTTGTCATAAAATGCCATAATATAAAACAACGTATTATTAAATAATATTTCTGGATTTTCAATAAGATAATACCTATTCTTACCTATTGGTATTTCTCCAAAATCGTAAGTTAACCTAATCATTTAATGTGTTAAAAAGGCACATTATGATAGGGCGCATTTGGATGCATTTGTCCGGTTACTTGATAGAGAAGTATACGGGTCTTAATACCGTGTTTTAAAATAAAACCACTTATTCTATATCCGATAAAATTGTATTTTATGAAATAATTATATAGCTATAGAATAATTGTCACCTATATAATTCGGTGTAATATTTTAAAACACTATTTTCTACAACCAACATTAATGTACATTGTAACTACTTCAGATCAGAAACAAAAGCTTTTTTTTCAATGTTTAATTGATCACACGTCATACCGAAATATTCCACAACAATTCTTATAATCTACGATTCGAAGAACAAAAGTCTGTACAAGTAAAATGTAAAATTATTGTAATAATCCTTAAGTTTCGTTTTGAAATTTTCGTTCAAATTCCACGACTCTACAGGACTATATACATTTTAAAGTCGGATAATAATCATTAAAATATTTTTACTTGTGTTAAAAGTACGTTAAAATTAAAAATTCCCGTCTTAATTAAATAAACATTTTAACGCGAAGTGCATACAAATATTACTTTTGAAACATAATATAATAGAAATACATAAAATCTATTATGTATTATACTACTATGTATAAATCAAAGGTTGAATAGTTTTTTTTATATTTTGCAAAAAGAAACAAATATTTCAATATAAAATGAAAAAAATGATCTTGATTTGAACTCTACCACGAAAACCTCAATATTGTATATAAACTCGCTATTACCAAAAGCCAGGTATTAAAGAAAACTATTTACAATTCGTAAAACCATCAAATTTGTTTATAAAAAACTTCTCTTAATATACTTTTTGGCCTTTAATATGAAAAATTACGAAAAATCGTTTTATACATAGGTATACTTAAATTTAAAAAAAGATTTCATTTCCAAGTTTTTAAAACAGGAAAATAGGTACTTACATAATATATTTATGTAAATATTTTGTTTTTAAAGAAACCCCAAATTTTTAAGATCAAACAAATTTAAAATGTACTCTCAAATAATATTGTTCATGTTGTAATATTTTGTTTTTATGTATAATTGATTCCTACTGAGAAAAAGTTTATAGTTTGATTTGAGAAAAAACAAAATAAGAAAACCAATTGTTAAACTTCGAAACAAAAAACAAAATAAAATGTATATTATGTATAAATGCATGATGTATACTTGTAACTGTGTTATGTTATATATATATACATTTTTAAAACCCCAGGATGTATAATAATGATATACCCATTCAATTCAACTTTTCTGTATTTTCCGTAAGTAAAAATTTCTTGTTTAGATATTATTATATCATTTAAAAATATAAGCCTTTTTTTTAAAAAAAGAAAATTAGTATTAGTATAAAAATAAATATCGAGATAGTATATCAAATAAATATTTTGTAAAATAATAATAACATGAATATATTATTATTTTATTCTTAATAACGAATTTTTAAATGATATTATAGATATATTATTATTATATTATAAACGAATTGTTGAAATGATATTTTGAATATAATAATATGACATCATTGGTGAAAAAATAAAATACAATTCTAAATATATGATCATAATATTATTAAAATCTAAAAACAATTATATTAGCATTCAAAAATAATTCTACATTTCTATGCGATATTCTACCATAGACATGATAATTATATATAATAGTTTATAGATAAATTTTCGATGTTGGAACCCAGCAGTTTATTATCGGGTTTGTCCCAATGTATGCCCGCAGCTGTATAAACAATCTATATAATAATAGCAATATTAGCGTTTTCCGAGTATAGACCCCCCCCCAACCATTACTAACGACCGATTGATTATACACCTCAGAAATCGACAAATTGGAGAAATTTGTTAATACAAACAAATATTATTTGGATTAAAAGTACGCCAAGACCAGAAAAATGTACAATACGTATTATGTATATCAATTGATGTTGATTGTTAGCAGTACATTTGCTAATAATTGATGAAATAGTTATAATAATACCGAAAAATAAAGCAGGCTGATAATACTAATGGGCTACTAAGGAGGAAGAATATATGTGTATAATAATTTATACCTAAAACACACGATTAACCATAGATAACGTAAAAATATTCTAAACAGAGTATTATCAGTCGTATTTTCTTGTCTTCAACATAACCCAGAAATAAACAAATAAAATAAATGATCTCATCAACGCACCAACTATATCACAAATGAATGCTAAATGAAAACTATTGATTAGAGCAAGATTTCTAGTAGAAAATTTGATTATACGGACACAAAAAATAAAAACACATCAAAGCAAAACCAAAACATTTTTCACTGTGCTCAGAATCTAAAAAAAAATGTCAAATTTCAATTTTCTTATATTTTGGTTATCGATATTGTATACGAGACTACATAGTAATATTAGGTAGGATATATTGCGTGCAATTAATCGTGTTCCGATCCGATGAATAATTCAATAGCTTTTACGCGTATAAAATATGCGTAAGTATTCGATTGGTTTGGGATTTTTTCAGGACGAAAGTTCAACAGACCCAGCTCGGTATTTTTCCGGTATTATGAGTAGTGTTAGATGTGTGCAATGTTAAAAACTAAATAAATAAAATAAAAACGATAAATAATGTTAAAAAAAAAAATTCTGGTTCTAGCCGAAGGATGTGAGAAAAATGAGATATGATATTTGGGATTAGATTTAATTACATACAATATACAAGGTATATAGGTGTACAAAAAATATATTTTTACCCATCTGGAGGCATTCCTGTACTCGCTGTAGTTCCCAGCTTGACCACCGTGTATTATATTATAGGTAGTAATATATAGGAAAAAGTGATGGAACGAAAACTCAAATGCGAAATAACGGGGAGGAAAATAAAGATTTTGAAAACCGATAATATATAGTTATATAACTAAACACAATTATTTTAATATTAACAAGTATGCATATGACTCTCTAATTATTATTAATTATTAGAAAAGACCGCGGAGGTACCTCGACTGCAAGCTCCCGCCAAGGGATATTTTCCGTGTTCCCGCGAACCATCGTCGGAACGAATCCTTACACGTTCGCTTATTTACTTATTGGATTACAATATATTGTAAAATACGTATAGCCGACTGCAAAGCCTTAAAAATGTCTGTGTATTTCATTTTAGCCGTCGCAAACGGTATAGCTAGGTATGGATACCTAAACCTAGGCATAGATGACAGTCAGACGGTGGGTTTACAGGACTTTGTGTATATATATATGCACTCGACTTACAACCGTAAAAAAAGAAGAGAGAAAGGTTTTGTTTGTCTGTTTTTTTTTTTTTTTAACCCGTAAGGAGGTCACGATACGACGACGACACTACGGACAATAACTCGGTTTATCGCCAAACAAATATTATATCAGGTAATATGCCTGGGTATACATACAAAACTAATATATCACACACACACACACACACACACACAAAACATAAAAAGTCGGAAAAAAATATTTACTCACCAATTCAGTAGGCGAATGAAAGTAAATACATATTTCAAGGTAACAAAGTTACATCATCTTCAGTACCTATACTGATAAACATCGACTGTTGTTTTACTATAATAACTAGACGATAGAAACAAGTGAGAATATAATTTTCAGAAAAATTAAAAAAAATACCTTTGCACAACAGAACTCAGTTACTAAAGACAAATTTACTCCCAACTATTTTGTATAATAGAAATGGTCTTTGCGAAACAATAAATAAACCGAATACAATAATATTCGTATATTAATATTGTATACGTATTACCATCAATAAAAAAAAAGTGATGTTTGATCATAAAAATAGTAGGGATGGAAAGTTTAAAATCTAGAAATACACACCCTGGATACTATAATATAACACTGTGCATAATATATAAAATGGCAATTTCCATGGTCTCATTTGCTAAAAAACACAAACCGCCCATACAACATTGTTCATATTAAAATTCAACCCAATTTGTATCACATATCAATCACTAAATCCCGATTTTTAACCTTTTTCAAATTATAATGAGAAAATGATAAATATATAAAAAAAAAACACCATTCTATACTTTTTGGGACAAAAAAACTAAAAAAAATAAATATTATATATTATATAGAACATATACAAATTAATTTTAATCCTAAATGTTTGAACTACAAATGCTTATAAAGTTATAATAATATACTACGATAATGTGCACAGCATTTTTTTCGAGTTTTTATACGCCACCAACAAATGTTATCAATAATCGATCATTTCGGAACTTACTAATAATTTTTAAAAAAAGTCGATACCGCCCACTATTGTAGATACTATAGGTAGATAGTTGGAAAATTAAGATGCAAATCATTCCATACGAAAATACGAAAAACGATTAAGAGTGAATTATTATTAGCCGTACTTTTTCCTTTTCTGTCTTTTCCAGCAGAAATTACGCCTCTTTTAAGGCACTGCGTAAAAAATATCGAATCATTTGCTTAACTAAAAATGTTTTAAAAAACAAAAAAAAACATAAAACAAATGTTTGGAAATGTGTTTTTAGGTAACATTGTTCAAACAAAGTACCATCAGTAGTAAAATTCACATCTTTAAAAAATGACAGAAAAAAATCAGAGCATTTTTACTAACCGTAAGTTTTTTCTAAAAAAAAGTCTTTATAAAATAAACAGCTTCTTCGTTTTAATAATCTAAATCTAAACGCCAGAATTTATTAAAAATTTCACCTTCTCCAGAAAGTGCTAATGTTAATAGGTAGGATTTCGTTGAATATTGCAGGTCACCATTAATTAAGTTACCAAAAATCGAAATTGACAAAAACCGCTATTGCATAAATATTCCTGCTTATTCCTGTTTGTTCTCATTATAAATAAAAATACCTATAAAGAAAAAAAATGACTTTCTCAATCCAACGAATGGATAAAATTTAATAATAAAAATCACACCTGAAAGCTGAATCAGACGATATTTGTTTTCCCGTCGAAAACTTTTGTTTACCCACAGAAAAAAAAAACGCAAAAACACTTCATATAGGGAAACTAATTCATAACTCACTTTGCTCAGAATATAAAATTAGTGTTGAGTATAATTATATTAGATAATGTGGTTTCGAATGGATCAATTTATGTGTAATTTATTTATTAACGTTATGTTTTGAAATGTGTGATGTTATATTACATTCGCATTTATTTATTTATTTGCAATATAGCAGAATGTGATGTCGCCATATTATATTATAGGAATATAAAATTAATAATTTTGATGAACGAAATTGGCAAAAGAAAATAATAGATTTTTAAAATATCTTATGTAACATGTGATTGTTGCCATCATAACGGATACAAAAATGAATAAATTATGGGAGTTTAAAGTTTAAAGTTAATCGTTCAACACCTATCCTAATCAACACCTCCCAAACGTCGCTGTCAAACTTAAGCGTATTATTTATCAATATACCACTAAAAATAAACAGAAAAAAGGGATACGAGGTGAAACCAATATGGATCGAAAAAGTATAATGTCACAATTTAAAACAAACTTTATTCCCAAAAGGGTTATATATTATATATAATATATAAGTATATGTATTTATCGATCTGGCTGGAAACCGATGTTTCAAAGTTAAACATAAAGGTAAAATACGATTTTTTTTTTCCATAAATAATTTAGTATCAATGCTTTAAATATTTTATACAAAACTACCTACCTGACTAACAGTAATTTATTTCAAAAATTATATTTTGTTATTGGCTAACAATTTTTTTTTATAAACTATCTATACTAGCTATTAGTTATTTTTATTTTAAATAACCAACGTAAATATTTAATAATACCATTTTAATGGTCTCGTCTGTTTTTTTTTTTTTTGTTTTACATATTATAATGTTTATATACTTATCTATTACCGCTAAACAGTGAACTATAATAAATTAAACTCAAACTAAATAAACTATTTAAATCATTACCCATAAACCAAATGTACCAAATTGATGGCCAAACCCCAATTTAATGTATATCTAAATGCAACGATAAACCATTGCTGACAAAAATACGATTCTGAGCGCAGTTCAGTTGATAATGATGCTTTGTCAACAATATTTATATCATAATATTGTAAAATAATAAAATAAGCATTATATATTTTCTTTAATATTTGATTATTATTACATCAATTTTCCCGTTTTTCCCGCTTTTCCCATGTTTTTTCCCAGATTATAACATTTGCTAAGAAAAGTCTTGGAAAAATCGAAAAATGACCTCCCTAAAGTACCTTCCTAGTCAGATTTACTTAAAGAAAAAATGCTATTATTATAAATCGGTGCAAAATGTATGGTAGGAAAATTATCCAGAAAAAAAAAAAATAAACATTATTGTAAAACCATAAGCTTCTCCGCTCTAAAATCTAAAAACAGATAATTTTTTTTTATTTTATGAAAAATATTGAATAACTAAAGTTATTGCCTAAACGAATATGTTTTTATTTTTATTAGTATTATCTTTGTTTATACAGTCATACATAGTGTAGATAAGTGTTAACGATCTTTAACAAATAATTTATGCTGCTAAATTAAGTATATTTCAAGCTCTAAATTTTGACTATCACTTTTATTAATTTCACTTCAATTCTTAGTTCTATACTGTAATCAAATTGAATGTACACATTAATTAACAAAGACAAGATTGAAAACAAAAAAAATTGTTAGTTTAGGTTAAATTAAAGTTAATTTAATTTTAACTTTATAACTTAACGAGCGAACATAGAAGAAAATTAACTATCTTTTAATTTTAAGTTAATTGTTAATATTAAGTTTAGAAAATCCATACTTTTGTATTAATTATTTTTTGTTTATCTAGATAATTATTTAGTTATCTAAGCCAATCAGTAACATTTTAAACGTAACAATCTGACATGTTATTTAAATAGTAATTTATAAATTTATTGCTCTATCTAGTGGATAAGATTTTCGGTAACATACATGATTCCTAAACTGCGAGAAAATGATGGTCTTTGGATTTTCCTAAAATTATTTAAATTTATAAAAGGTAATAAATAAACGAATTCGGTATAGGGAAAACCTAGAAAAGTCACTTTTTCATTTAATCTGAGAAAAACATGATTTTAAATTCAAACTGTAAGAATATTTTTATTTTACAAAGTAAAAAGTTCGGATTAAATTAAATGTTAAACTTTTAAATGTAATAATCACAACACAATAATGTCATTTTATATGATTAACCACGACTATAGTCTATATAACCCTTTACCCAACATTTGTCTGGTTATCAATTATTGGCTTAACTGTTTTTTTTTTCCTGTAGGCCTAAACTTCTGACATTTACTATTTTCGACTAATCTAGTTTTTTCACCGAATCGATTGCATAAAATATATAGTACATTAGTACACATTGTTTGATATCAATATCGCCATTTTAAAAAAAAGTGACTTCAGGATTACTTTTCCCTGTACCCTTCAAATGTAAACCACCAACCCAGCAATTGAATTTAAAACGCAAAACTGAATTATGAAAGATTTTCAAACGATAAATAGTTGTAAGATCTACAAACATAACAATATAGAAATTTAAAAGTATATAACTATCCTATCTAATGAACCAAATTTGTTTTCGTATTTCCAATATTGTACCTTAGGTACATATACGTTCGGAGAGGAATCGGCAAGATAAAATATATTTTTATGATTTGAAGGTATTGTTGTTAGTTGCCATTTATAATTATAGTTCTCAATGTTTACATATTATTTTATTAATCGACATATTTTAGATCTTGGTTTATGAAATAAGATTATATTGTGTATTATTTATATTTAATATTGTGTATTTATTTTCTTAAAGAAGCCTTGCTAACTGAAAATCCTAAAAGGTTAATGTTCGTTACATAGCTAATTCAATTATAATATAAGTATACACATGTATGCAGAGTAACGTCTACTAACAATGACCCCATAAACAATATGTCTAAGGAGCATCTTATTAGAATTCAATATAAAAAAACAAGTTGTTTATTTACTGGCGTATTGGTTTTCGTTTATTAAATATAAAGGTAACTAATATATTTAAAAAGACGTCCTAGGATAATAGGGATGAGTGCAGCCACTGTTAAAGATAAACAATTGCTTACGAAAAAACGATTCTTAGTGGAGTTCAGTTGATAGTGATGCTCTGTCAACAATATAAATGTCATTTTATAGTAGAATAATTAAATAGGCTTTATACATTTTCTTTAATAATATTTGTTCAATGTTGTAACGTTATTCCCGGTTTTCCCATGTTTTATTCCGGTTTTTCAAATTTGCTGGGGAAAACTCTTGAGAAAATCGAAAAATAGTTCTCTAAAGTACCTCGCTAGTGAAATTTCCTTTTTGAAACATTTCTGTCATTAAAAGTTGGAACAAAATTGCTAGTAAAAAGTTGTGCTCAGAAAAAAAGAAGGCCATAATATATTTCAAATAATACCTCCGTCTCTTATATATTCTCGTTTTTTTTTTCAGTTTTACAAATTTGATGAGAAAACTCTTAAGAAAATCGAAAAATGACCTCTTTAAAGTACCTTGTTGGTAAAATTTCGTTTTAGAAACATTACTATCATTAAAATATTACTTAAACTTTAGTTTACTTAAAGTACTTAAGTTTAAAAGTCTTCTGGTAGAAAAGTTGCGCACAGATAAAAAAAAATAATAATAAACATCTTTGTAAAACTATAAGCTACTTCACTCCACTCAGAATCTAAAATAAAACCAAATCTATAGGACCCACCTAGACATAAGGACTCCCAGGAAAACCGAGAAAAAAAAATGGAAAAGTTAACGGATATAACGGTTTCATTATCTACGAATAGTTAACGAGACGTAAAATTATTATTTTTTATTTTTTTATTTAATACTGTTTTGATTCTATAAAATCACTCAAATATTTAAGACAAAAATACAAACACTAATTGTAATTATTTATTTTGTAGTTATAAATTAATACAAGTTTCAATTTTTATTTACCGAATTTCGTTTGAAATAATTTTTTTAAAGATATTACAACTATATTTATAATTACATTAGGTATAGTTGGAATAAACATAAAATAATTACTCTTGAATTTCATCACTCGAATATTTTAATACATGTGAATTTTACTGTCATTTGTTCAACGAGTAAGTATAAGTATTCTCTGGAAATAATAATAACATATCGTTATTTATTATAAATAATTTAACTTATATAAACACACAAAATTTTATTTCATTTGAATACCTACTTAATAAGAATTTTCAACAAAAAAATCAAAAATTAGATACCTATTTCATAATAACAATAATGAAAATAATAAACATATGCATACATTATCATAGAGAATAAAATAATGATAACTTCCCGATAACCGTAGCTTGTGATAGGGGATAGTGAGTTCAAAACTAATTCATATAAACAAAAGAATTGCAAGTACATCAAAAAGTATAAGCAGAGACAAAAGAAAAATCTATCATGCTGTATTAACACTATTGTAATATCTGAAGAGTGTAATAAAAACTAGATAATTGTTTTTTGCTTAATGATTTAAGGTGACTTACATTAATATTAAATATTTCATGCAAAGCAGTTCCTACAAAAATAACACTTCTTTGACTAAAAATAGTTTTAAAAGTAATTGAATCAAGATTATCTAATTGTTTAGATTGTTTTATGCTCGTGTTGGACAAGGACCTTAGGGTCACTAGGTCTCTAGGGATACACCAAAAATTTATTTTAGCTGTCTATCTAAGAATGTTGTCAATTCTAGTACTCTGAAACCTTGAGTCTTAAATAACACCTGAAAAAACTAAGAGCAATTCTTCGTGTACCAGAAAATTATAACTTTATTTAATAAAACTGCATGATCGACAGTCAAAAAACTTATCGAAAAATATACCAATCATTTTTTATTACACGCACAAAGTTTACGAACCATAATAAATTTGAGCATCAATATTGTTGATTTAATTATCCATAATAACAATATTACAAATTGCAAATGGTATTAAATACTGTCGATACTGAAAAATTAATATTTAACATGCATTTAATACTCATAAACTACATATACACATATATATATTTATTTAAAAATAAATAACAGTTATATTAATATTATATAAGTACTGTAAGTTATACTTATAAATAGATTATTAATATAAGTATTTGAATGCTTTTTTACTGGGAATAATTCTGTTACTCAAACACTCTTCGTAATTAATCGTATACTTAAGACTATAGTAAAGAATTAAATTAAGTATCTATATTATGTATTTTTAATTGATGCGTGTATACATTTTCTAAATTAGCAATAATCATGTTTGTAGTTTTAAGATAATTTAGGAATACATTATTATAATAATTTAACATTGTCGTTATTATTATTGACGTAATTGTTTAGAAACCTTTTATCTTAAAATAAACAATAACATAAATCTAACTTATATAATATGAAGTATTATACACAGCGTTTGAAAAATGTGAGAATACATTTTTCTCGGTGTATTCCAGAACGCGCTACCTAACGGTATAAAATGTCCCGAGCGAACTCGACAGTTCGGCATTCACAGAGCGAGCACATGTCCGATTTTCGATATTTTCTGAAATTGTTTGGAATTTATTATATTTTAAAATGTACCACTGCAAAATAATATCAATCGAATCGCGAATTTTCCATGAAAAATAATTGAACTAATAATTTTGAAAATTTAAAATTATTGTAGAAACGATTCATCATTATTAATTATTCATAACACCGCAATTCAATTTCAAAATATATTTACAAAATGGCTATCTTGGATTTCGTGAAAAAATTTGTTTAAAGAATTCTATAAATCATTATGAGAAAAAAAACTCTTCATTTTGAAGAGTAAAATGTTATTTCAGGTGTCAAATATTCGTGTGGTACCTTGTATTTTAAGATGGTCCAATTATTATTTTTGAAGTTATAATTTTCAATTCAAAACCTCCCCTCTCTGAATTTATATTAGTATTTACAAAAAAGTGAAGGGTTCAGGAAAAACATCAAAAAAGTCACTTTTTTTCAAACTGAGAAAAACGTGTTTTTAATTCAAAAACGTAACAATTCTTTTTTTTACAAAGTAAAAAATTCGGATTAAGTTTTATTGTTAAAAAACTTTGCAAATTAGTAATATTTATGTTATATTATATTATTAACCTCGGCTATAGCCGTGTATTAATCCAACACTTACCTGATTATAAATTGACTATCTTTTTTTCCTGTAGACTTAAACATCTGTCATTCATTAATTTCGACTAGTGGAACTAGTTCGACTAGTTTTTTCGCCGTTTTTATCACATAAAAGATACGGCACGTCAATACAAACTATTTGATACCGATACCACCAATTTATAAAAAAAGTGAATTTTCGATTTTTTCCCTGTACCCTTCATATGTGAAATTAGGACACAACTGATCAGACCCTAAAACATATCCCAAAAAGGGTTTAATAAACAATCTTGGGGGGGAGTTTTTCAGTTTTTTCTGATTATTTAGAAAAATATTTGACTTTAAAGTGTATAAAAAGTGTATTATTAAAAATCATTTCCTAAAAAAATTATTACAGTTAGTATAGATTATAAACAAATGTTAAATACCTATATTACGAATATATCATAAAAAAAACTTAGACTTTTAATGCAATCGGATAGAAAACTGTTCGTAGCTGCCAAAATAAAACAAAATTGTTGTTGATATTGTGTAGTTTTTGGCACTGCACTAAGAAAATTATTTAAACACCTACAATAAAAAACACTTAATTACGCCACTTATTGATCATAATATAATTATTATTCCTATAAAAATATTAATTTTATATAATAATATGTAGTTAGAGGTTTTGGGTTGTTTTTACGCTGTGTATCTAACGTGAAAATAGCTGTTTGGAAAACCTGCGGTATGGGATCCGAGAAGGGTGTTGCCGATTTTCGTTATTCTAGGGAGAAAAATTCTGAAAGTTCATTCACGTCTCGCCATCTGGTGGAAAACACGGGTCACAGTTTTCTCCGCATATGCGGTCTATAGATGGCGGTGCGCGTATATCATATGGTCGTTATTCAAAAATAATTGTCGCATATCAGAATATGATATTTTGTGTTTTGAGCAGCAGTTAAATTGGGGATGAAACGACGATTATTATTTAAGGTATATTATCTGTTTCCTTTAGTTTAAGTTTTCAAAATACGATGGGACACTTTATTTATTGACACTGAATTATTTTTATAACATTTTAAAAACGCGAATTAGTTCTATTTAAAATGTACTTTTGAATACATATTGGAATAAAAATAATAAGACTCCGGTACACTTTGTTTATAGTATCATGGGGACATATTTAAGATAGAAAAAAAAATGGTTTTTGTTTTAGCGGGGGAGTCTGAAGAAAACGTTTTGAACGTCTTGTCTTCATAATGAATTAGGTTAAGTCAGTTCCCGACAACGCGCCTTTTGGTGAATATAGTTCACGTCCTCTCGAACGTTTTATGAAAACAGATAACGTTATGTATGCGAAACAAAATACAAAGGAGAAAGAGAAAAATATGTGTCCGTTCAAAGTAATCAGTTGCGATGACGTCAAAAGCACGCGTTCAACGAACGCGGGCCTAACATTAAATTAGGTTTATTAGTTATCCGTCTGCAGTTAAAGGTCAACTATAAATTATAATCACTTCGTTTTACCATAATCTACTCGTCTTTGACTTGGGAGTCGATTACACAGCTTTTTATTGTCAGTTACCGGTAAGTTATGCAGCAATGGACAATGCCGAATTGCTATTATCGAATTATTCGAATCAGCCGAAAAACAATTCGGTAGTGAAAAAATCAGAGGGCAATACACCAATCAATAATTTATGTACCAGATTCCGGAATACCGCGATTTTCCAAAGATCAGGTCATATCGCACGTAATACGGGTAGTTTAAAAAACTAACAATAATCAAACCGATCGAACATCGCAGTACGGTTTTGTGCGTCGTCAATCGAGTATTATTCGTTATCATGTAATATTTTTTAAATGAATTGAAAAGATTTATCAACACAAGTGCCCGACATAAATGTCCCGAACGGGGCAGCAAAAAACTTAGACGGACAAATAGAAATTGTTTGGACAATTTGCATGGCGGAATTTATGTGGCGATCAAAACTAAATAATGGTGAGATAATCGTTTGATTTTAAAAGATACAGCAGAATTTCGGGGCAGCCTAAATAATTGTATACATTTTTTAACATTTTATATTTATGCGACGTATTTATTATCGTATCTTCCCACGTCGCCGACTCCCATTTCGCTGACAATTAAACCGGTTTTTTAAGGTATTAAAAATCTTCCCATTTCAACAACACAAAAATCGATTATATTAATATTTTTGAATTGAAATATTACTGTTGCAATGAAATTATTATTACTAAAGAAATTCCAGCGCCGCAATCGCGGCATGAACGCGTAAGTATAAATATACACATTTAGTATTATGGAAAAAAAAAACAATATTGACAATACCAATAAGTAATCAACGACAGGATAGATTTTCTTATTATTTTCATAATTTAAGTTTAGTACAGTGAGAATTTAAGAAAACCAGTGTAATCCCTGCAAAAACGAAAACGAATTGTTTTAACATGAGCTATATAGTGGGATGGAGTCACGAGTAGGTGTACATCAAGCAACGTATGTCACAAGTAAGTATTAACAAAATAAAATGTTGTCGGCAAAATGGAAGTACGCGAAATGGGATGTCGGCAAAATGAGTCATCGGCAGAATGGGAGTCAGTGACGTGGGTATGAACCTATATTGTTATGGATGGCTGGGAGATAACAGAACTGAATGGCTATAACAAAAAAGTACCGTTGTTTTTTTTTTGTGATCTAAGATTAAAAAAAATGAACAAAATTCGAATTCTTAAAACGGACAGAGAGACGGCTTAAACAAATTGTGCAATTACACAAAACAAAACATCTTGCCAACAACAAAATTAGATGGAAGTGTGGGAAAAAAAATGGAAATATGGAAAGACAGGTAGTAAATCAGATATTAAAACATTTAAAATGTATAAAAAAAATAAATTGAGAGGAAGTATCCAAGGGGTAACATTTTTTTCTTTCATTTAGTATCCCTCTCCCCAGATTCTTATCGGCTACCAACGATATTCGTTCTTCTGATCCCGTTCTCAATATCCACTGATAATTTAGTATATTATTAACTATACTTTTGGACAGGACGTGTTTTGTGCTATGCTCTTAAGTCACTTACCTACTGAATATAATATAGCTGGTTTCACACTATATGATTCTAAAGCACGTGGACACAACAAAAAACGATTTTTCGCATTGAAATAAGTTCGGACGTATGTGGCCACATAAAATATAGATTCGATTTAATTTTGTGCGGTTGAACGCGTCCGCAAATAAAATTAAACAAGACGTTATCACAATATCTTTCACGCTTCCGTTGTCGAGATTTATTGTTTATTTTTTAGATTCTGAGAGTAGATTCTATTGGTTTTACTTTGACAAGAGTGTTTCTTTTTTTTCTTTTTTTTCTGTGTGTTTATCTGTAAACAACTTTTCTACCATAAATTTCGTTTCAACCATAGAAACAACAAGAGAACTTTTTTTCGTTGCATTTCGGATCTAGTCGGTCAGTGCGAAGGTCATTTTAGGTAGGATAGGTGCAAAACAGACGCACTTATACGTACAAGAGCGACAGGGAACCATTCCTCGGGAAGGAATCCGAAGTGCGGACTTTGAAAAACCTTAAACCGGCAAAGAGTAGAGGTAAGAGAAACCAAAAAAGAACCCCGTACGGTGGAAAATAGGAGCAACCGCAGAATGAGATAATGTGGAAACGTGCGAAATGACCAACACGAAATGTGAACGAAACGGCCTCTTTGGAGAACCAACTGACGGAACAATAAAACTAATTGTAGAAAGACAAACAAAGTGTTCGGAAACAGCTGACCGACGCGTATTAGAAGATTTATTATTTATTTTTTTCGTTTTCGACAGACACCGCGCGGTCGGTTTAAATGACTAGTTTGATTCGATTCCAGTGCATCGTCGGGCCGCCATACGGACCTCCCCCCCCCGATTTCAGGGGTCTGAGGCAATGCAGTGCCTAACGCGTGCTGGCCATTGCACGAGACCCACAATGAGCGGCTTCTAGACATTTCGTCGACAATTGTCAATCCGGGAAAATGTACCGCGACTTTGTTTTTTCCGTACAGACACGCGTTGTCCGTAGGTTATCTGTATTTTATGCTGCTCGTTAATTACTGTGAAACACGTGGATACAAATTCCTAGTCGATACCATGAACAAAAGCCGGTCGGGCGTGTTTGGGAATAGACTTCTCGGGAAAAAAAAACCGCGGGCCGGGCCCGGTAAGGAGATTCGGGAAACGGGCGGTTCGCCCTCGGCACGGGTGTCCCGCGTTGCCCGACACGATCATGATGTTCGGTATTCGGTCGTTTCGGCGTGATAATATTATCGCGTAATCGACGACGACGAATAACGGTTTCCGGAAATAGAATTCCATCATTACAGGCGGTGAGCGAGGTATATTATATTATTTCACTTTTATAACAGTGCAATTGTTGCGCACGCGAATAATGTCTGACGGTGCCGTGGTGTCTGAAAACACACTCATCGGAAAACCTGCGGGCAGCGGCGCCGGTGGGGGCCGGGGGCGGCGGTGGTCAATGTACAGAATGTTGGCCGGCTGTCGACGACGCGGTCGAGAGGCGAACGTCGAGAGGCGAACGCGCCGCTGCCGTTTCGGTTCACCCGCATAATAACGTAATATTTACTAACAGTCCGGTCGGTGGCGGTTCTCGGTATAACGTGAAATTTAAAAAGGCCGCCCGAGGATAAAGGCGACGGGGTGCAGCCGCCGTTGTAGACGATTTAATGTACACGCGTGAGCGACAATAGACCATTGCCTACGGAAAAACGATTCCGAGCGGAGTTCAGTTGATTGTCAACGATGTATACGAGGTCTGGCTATTAAACAACGAGACTGCTTATGAAAAATGGTTTTATTTTAAAAATTATTCCACAACCAAATGTTCCCCTTCAATATACTCTCCTCCCCTCTTCACACATCGTTTCATTCGCTTCTTCCATTGCTCGAGGCAGTGCTGGAAGTCTGTTTTCGTAAGACCATTCAGGAGTTCCGCCGATTTTTGTTTCACCTCTTCCATCGACTCAAACCGGATTTCTTTTAAGGCAAATTTTATCTTCGGAAACGAGTAAAAGTCGCAGGGTGCCAAGTCGGGTGAGTAAGACGCGTGTTCGAGTACTGGAGTGCCTTAAGCGGCCAAATAACGCTTCACAGACAGCGAGATTCAAGATCCACGACTTGTTTTTCCACAATATCGACCGCTTCTTACGAACTCATTCGCGCAATGTTGCCAAAATTGTCAAATAGTAATGTTGGTTTACAGTTTGACCCTCTGGAACCCATTCAGTCATCACGATGCCGTTGATATCGAAGAAAACGAACAGCATGGTTTTAAATTTGGATTACGACTGAATTGGATTCCGGTGCACTCTAGACCTTCAGAAAATAATTTATGCCACTCAAAAACACGCGCCCGAGATAGGAAATTCTCACTATAGGCCTCTTTTAACAACTTATAGCACTCAGTTGGAGTTTTTTTTAGTTTAGCGAGGAAATTTTACGTTTATCCGTTGTTCATGTTTTTCGTCACACATCGTTTTCGGCAAGAGAAAAAAACATGTTCGTTTCTAAACGCTACAGAAAAAATACTAATACACCAACAAAAACCCAATTTTGTACTGGCATAATAGACACTTCCAGCTAACCAGAGCTGTATTCGGTTTCCCCTAACCATTTTGGGACGCTTTCTACGCGCATAGTCTCGTTATTTAATAGTCTTATGATATTTGTTTAGTGTTGTGCCGATTTTCCCAGTTTTCTCACGTTTTTTCCCCGGTTTTTCACATTTGCTGGGCAAACGCTTGGGAAAATCGAAAAATCTCTAAAGTATCTGGCTAACGAAATTTCCTTTTAGAAAGATTTCCATCATTCAATGTTGGTGCGAAATTGCTGGCGGAAAAGTTGCGCACAGAAACAAAGAAGTCCGTTATATATTTTAACTAATACCTACGTTTATTATATTTTCCCGGTTTTTTTTTTCGCCGGTTATCAAATTTGACGAGAAAACTGTTGAGAAAATCGAAAAATGACTTTGTTAAAGTACCTCCTCACGTCGATTTCCTTTAAGAAAAGACGCTACACGTAGAAATCCGAGCAAGTCTTCTGGTAGAAAAGCTGCGCACAAATGAAAAAAAATAAATACATAAACATCTTTGTAAAAGTATAAGCTTCTTCGCTCCACTCAGAGTCTAAAATGTATTATATTAATCATTAGACAATAGGAAATGATTTTTATTGTCAAATCAATGGTTTTTTTTTTTCGTTTAAGTTAATTATAAATTTAAATCAAGTTAATTCAAAATTGTTTATCAATTCAACTGAGTTAAAAGTCGACCAATAGTTAAAATTAACTTTTTAACCAAAGTTAAGTTAATTAAAAAAAAATGTATAAATATTGCCTACTATAATGGCCTAATAATCTACCTACAAGTCCCGACCGGCGACAATAATAAAATAAAACAAGCAAAATCCTCATTCATTGCGTCCCGTACCGAAGGCAGAGGACGATCGGTATTTTTATTTCATTATTCATTAATTGTGCGTTCGAAATCTCAAATTTAAATTTATTATAATTCCTAGGTTAGTTTAGGTTGGTTACGGGTTGAACACTTTTTTCGTCCTACCGCAGATATTTCATTATTTTCGTTAGTCGTTTCAGGATAAAATATTATTACGTACAGTTTGAAGTGAAATTATAATTATTTTTTACGAAAACGTCTAGCTGAGATACGTAGTTGTACGTAAATGCTAAAATAGGCGACAATTCATAACAAGACTTTACCTATTATTTGTTACATTTCTATCATTTTCGTCATAAATAATTCATAAAATAACGATCGATAATTAATATTATTTCAAAATTACCATTATCTGTGGTACTATTTGTTTTACATCACAAAATTCGGTTAGTAGCATTGCACCTATATTTGAATTTTTTTTCAGAGAATTTTTTTATGAAAACCCAAATAAGGGCATTAATATAGCAACTATGCGTACGCAGTCATAACCGAAACCAAATTTAGGAGGTTAGGGGAGGGGTTAATTTTTTGTTCCGACCAATATTTGATGTATTCTTAAAATTACGCTAAAATACTCTACACGTTTTTCGATGATTTTTTTTTTAAACTTACAAAAATGTATAGCTATAATATTCTAATAATACACTAAATGAATACTTACATAATACATAATTCTAGAAATAAAGTAATAATCGTGTAAATTCACTCACCTGAAACAAACAAAACAAAACAAGTTTTATAATATATCGGTCATTTATGTATATAAATAATAGGTGTATAACTAAACTAAAAAGTTTTTCAGTGGCGGTACTGGCTATATTTTTTTGGCAAAATTATTTATTTTTCATGCTGACGAAAGACTACGAAAAATCACACACTTCATTTAAAATACTTTTCTAGATTACCTACATTTCAATTACTTCACACCTGCATTTCGGGGACTCGAAACATATTTTAGGTTCTGAGTTTTGTGAGAAATCTATGTAGATTTTACTACAACATATATGCGTGCACTCTATTATCTGTGTGTTCGACAACTCTACCAGAAATCGTGTTCCGACCATTTACTTTGAGGTTGGCTTCTGGAAGAAAATGTGGTCTGGTCGATGCGATGGTGTGCGGTATGGCGGTTACAACCAATAACCTAACCGTAATTCAATGTACGGCCACGTTTATAATATCAACTTTACCGGTCTGCCGGAATCGCCTAAACAACCGTAGTTCGTGTACTGCTCGCTCGTTCTAAATATTGATAATACTTATCATCAATTATAATATTATTATAATCGCGTGTCATGCGGAGGACAAACGCTGTCGTCGCCTCTGGTGGGCCGCCGAAATATTAAACGCGAGCTGCGGTTCCGGAGGAAGAGGCTTCCCCGTCCGTGTGTACATGTATAATTTATTATTATAAGTGGTACAACAATTATACGGGGTGATCAATCATCGATGGAACTCTCATTATCTCGGAATGTATTAACTTCTTTTCGAACAGCTTAAGAAAGAAGCGCAGCTCCAAAATGTTACGTCGCCGCGTATTTTCGGCTAGATGCGTATACTTTTCCCAAAACCACGGAAGAAAAAATTAAAAAAAAAAAAAATCAAATTTTGCAAGTATACACGCCAACCTAAACTAACTCGAAGTTCGTCGAACGAGAATCTAAAACTATTAAACGTACAAACAAGTGTCGACTCTGGTACTTGACGATCAGTGCGGATAAATAAAATAATATTAACGGAAGAAATCGTTAAAAAAATACAAACGTATTTAGATTTCTAAGTTGATGTAACTCTTTGGGATATTTATCAGTGGGAAAAGTGTTAGAGTCCCATTTTTATTTCGCCCTTTTTGGGAAGAAGGTTAAACCACTGTACAATTAGTTTTAGTTAAAATACATTTTGTCCTTTTTTATTTCCGATAGCTAATTAACGAGATATTCTACTTTTAAGTTTGACAGAGAGAAACAGCACTGTTCAAACGCCGCGCGATGGGAGGAACAATAAGACTTTTACGTTTAATTTAATTTATTCTGTTCAATGGATGCTACTGCTGGACGAGGTATATGTAATAATTTATAATAATTTACTAAACCCTTCAATTAATAGAAAAAATTGTAAAACGGCTATTACGAAATAACAAAAAAAGCTATTATTTTATAATTAAATGTATTAAAAAAAAAAAAATTACTAAATTTTTAAATTATTATGGTGATTTTTAAACTATTTATTGGTCTATAATAATTTCGAGGGGGGTTTTTTTTTTAGTTTTTATTTGGTTTTATGCGAATAAAATCATTTTGGCTGATTAAAAAATATGCTTGTAAATTATATACGATAGAACATCATAATTTGTATTTAATGGCCAAAAAACAAAATTCAGCATAATGTAATAGTTATTTATTAAACGCGCTTAAAGTTAAAATTTGAATAGGAATAGTAATAATACGTCATACTGTGTAATTTTTTTTTTCGTTTTATGTAAACATAATTTGGCAAAATATTTGAAAATTTAACACGAGGTTTGTAATTTGTTCTACTATTGAGTTAATAAAAAAAAAAACCGAACGTGATGTAATTTTTTTGAACTATTATAAGACTATAATAATATTGGTCCATAAGATAATTTCATGAACACGGACAATTTTTTTTTGTCAGTATAATATCTAAATAATTTAATAACGCAAATTTATCTACATAGAGAATAGCATTAGTGACGTATTTACATTAAGGTTAAATATATAAAAAAAAAACTACGGCATTTTTATAATATTGTCAAATAAATGTCCCTTTTTAATTATGAATATTTACGTTCGTCTCGTTCGTGTAAATTAAAAATCAATACGTCAAACTTGTGTTAATGATGTCGTCTGCAAGTCTACGTAATGAGTAAAAACTCTAAAATCTCCGTTCGAAGGGTATTTAAACGGTATTTTTTTTCTATTTTGCGTGAACAAATGGTTTTAAACAAATTTCAAGATCAATAAATATACTCGTGATAATATTATTATGGTCGCAGGACCACTTGTGTATTATTGATTTCTAATACGTTTATAATTTTATTTTATATGATGTTATTTAGACAATTTGTTAACACTTCAAAAGCGCATTACGACCTAAACCTATAACAGACGAATATAAATCGTTATAATATTTTAGAAGAGGGGGGTGTTTTTTGAGGTCACATACTTTAAGGGGCGGTTATACTAATAATTTATTGGCGTTAAATTTTGCGATAGAAAAAAAAATAAAAAATAAAAATGTTGTATTTTTTTTTTATACCGAAACGCGTCTTAACAGTTTTAAAAACTGTAAACACTATAATTATTTTAAATCGATAAAAAAAAAAATGGAATTAAATTATATCGAAATTAAAACGCTTGCAAATCATTTATTATTTTTATATATAATCTAGTTTACGCGGCAATCTTGTAAATCTCTATAATATTATAACAACTTCTTCTTCGATGACGTCATTATGATCAATATATATATTGTAATTTAATATAATATCCGTTAATCTCGAGTTTAATAATGTCACAAGATCGCACAGCGTATTATTATTTCGTATTTTTTTTTTATTTTCCACAGATTTCGGGCGGGATTCGCGACGTTTCAAACCGCGCGATTATCTGAACTCCGTTCAGAATCGTATTTCATCAGCGATAATTTATCGTTTCGTACACCCAGACATGAATTAAATAACTCTGTGTATCCTATCTTCTTAACCACCCGCTTACGATATTCATTGATACACCCATCGGCTGAACCAATTGGCTTTTTTTTTTTTGCACATCTCAAAATCATCGCTATGGTAATGAATTCTCCGCCGGCGCGTTATTATCTCATCTGACTTTGTGCACGTGCAAAATTCACAAAATATAATATTCACTTCATATATGTGTACGCGTTACATTTAACGCGACGATTTTATGCTTTTCGCATTCGCGTACATACACTTGCAAAATAATATGTTTAATTTTAATTTTTTTTTTTTTGTTTACTAATATTCTTTTCGTATAAAGAACTGAGAGGAGTAAATTAATAGGAAAAAAACAATTGGAGCCAACAGGACATGTATATGTCCTGGTATGGTTATATAGATAAAATCAACGGAACGAGACCTAGAGGCCGACCTAAGAGAAAATGTTGCTGGATATTTTAAGATTGGACCTTGAAAAATAAGTGACGCTCCTAGGAATTTTCAACGGAAAAAGATGTAACATTTAACAGTCATGAATAAATTGTATAATCCTCTTTTCTAGCTGATTTAACTTAACGGGAGTTCAAAAGCCGTGTACGAAAATAGTCCATATCTAATAATAAAACTGAGTTTTTCCTTGTAATCTGGCTGACATGTTTACATTTCAAGATTAAATTACTCAATAAATCCTCATAGTTATCATATTTTTAAGCAAAAGGGTGATTTAACCCCTCGCTCGCCTAACCTTTTCCCCTTGCGGTACAAGTGCACGACATTACGCAAGGAGCGAAGTTGGAAGAGAGTATGAAAAAAATGTAGGTAAGGTGGCGGGAAAAATAGTTGAAGCAGCGAAGGCCCTAAACTATAAAAAGAAAAAATAAAGAACTAAGAAGTGAATATTTGTCTACTTTTTTTCTCTGGATAATAATTTAAAGCGTAAATATCAAATATTGAACGTTTTATCGATACACGCGCAGCTTATATACTCCAACGCCATACTCCTATGTAAATACTTACTATAAAAATATTAATACATTTTTATTATAATTGCGAATAATAATATAATCTTCGTACCGCCCCGCCGTTTAGTTTGCAAAAATTTCTGAATTATGTCGGTGAACTATTATTAAAAATATTTATTTAAAGTCGTGGAAAAAAACCTAAATGAAACACCTCAACATAATGTATATACCTACGAATTTATAATATTATGATAAGTGGTAAAATAAAGGTCTGTAATTCAAATACATTTGTGCACATTTTTTTGTTTTTTTGCGCTTTTTGAATAATATATACCTATAATATTATTATTATGATTAACGCCCCTACGCCACCGCCGCTGTTATAAAATGCAAAAACATGACATTATTTATATTATATAATATAAAAGTAGGTTCGTATTTTGCGTAGGAAAATTACATTTTTTTTCGGTTTTATCTCAATTTATTCCCGAACAGCAGCGGCAGTAGGTACAGCAGTAACCGCGGATATTATAGATTATGCGAGCTACGGAGTTCAAATATCGATTTCGCATTATTCGAAAATTAAAATTAATATCGAAAAAGCGATTCCGACAAAGCAAAATGATAATGATCCGTTTTATTTTAAGTTCGTAATAATACAGTACGAATGTTATATTATAGTCAATATTCGTCGCGCGTATAACTCGAACCAGAGTCAAAAACTCGCGTATAATTTTAAAATGAAAAAAAAAAAAAAAGCGTACGTCCCGAGGTTTATTACATTATCATTGCGTGCCCATACATTTCAGGTAAAGAAAAACGTAGGTAGATATATAGAAACGAAATAATAATAATAATAATAATAATATATAATTCGTACAACGCCCACTTGTTATATTTTTATTTACGAACATTTTCGCCGTGCATCACAATGTATAAAATTACCGACCGCATTATTGTAACATTTGAATGTAATATATAAAAAAAAAACCAACTCCTTGGTATCGTCGTAATAATATAAAAGTAATCTCATTATGTCAAGTTATTCTGGTTTTTTTGTCGTTATTTTCACCGTGATATTAATGAGATGGTGTTTGGTCGACTGAGTTTATTATGTACTAACCTAACCAATACCTACGGACGCGTAAAACGTCTACGTATTTATTAGCCAACTCTGCCTCTCTAAATTCAGGCGCGAACCAGGGACGAGACTCACTGTTCCGGGAAACAATCGATTCCAAGAACCTATAGGTCTATCAATCAAAGCTGTAGCTAAAGAAAATTTCTGGGAGGGGAGCGTTTGAAATTGTATCAATCAATTCAATTTTCAGTTTTAAATCAATTTCGAGGGGTCCAGATCCGTGGAATAACCCTTTACGTATGTCCAGTTAATGCCGTCAAAATGATGGGAAATTAATAAAAACCATTACTTCAATAACTACCAAAATCCACCATATTATTTTTGATATCGATCATGACGTGCACTGTGTAGATATCAGTGTGAAAATATATGATGAATATGTCTATAATTGTATACTTTTCTAAAATTATATTGACCTGGAGGGCACAGCGACCGGTAGGGCCGGTGATTTCTGCCTATATCCATAATGTAAAAGGTTAATGTTAGCGAACTTTTCTATCTGATCAATAAACAAAATTTTAACTCTTCAATGAGGAAAGTTGACCGTTTCATTGGCATTACTAATAAAACCAAGTCGGCTATTCATAATTGTTTTATTTATCTGTGGTATATTGGTATAAAGGTACCAGGATTTTAACTGTATACAATTAATTTAGATTAAGAGATGATATTCCGGGGACATCGTGTTCTGTCCACAATAGGGTAGTTATTATTTGAATGATGATAGAATTTATTTTTGAACACCCCCTAACAATGTTCTAAAAAAAAAAATTAAAATTTTGAGCCCTATTTGAGCTTTCTAGGACAATTTTTTCGTCCTCCTGTAACGAGCTAAAGTTTCCCATTTAAAATACATTGATTTTTCGTTTATTCTGAATTTTGTTTATATGTAAGACATATAAAATTGACGTACAATTTGTCAATAAAATAATTTATAAGGGAAAAAAAAATTGTCAAGAATTATATGCTAGTATATGTATAATTAACAGATAAAAAGTAGCATATAATTCTTAAAAATTGTTGTTTTTCTGAATCACCCTAGTCCACACATATATAATGCTAATAGTTTAAAAAAAAAAAAACACCAAGAGAAAAGTTGAATTCAACCCAACTATGAAAATTTCCCGGTTGGTCTTGGTTTTGTATGTTACCAAGATTTCAACAGCCAATCAGAATACGACAAAGCGTAGTATTCTTAGCGAAGTATAGTACTCTTTTATAATAAACAAATTATAGTAACGACAGCGTTTAAATTGCATAGATTATAACGGGTCCATGAGTTACAGTTGCGGTACTGATAGTTTGAGGAGTTTATAAGAGGGACTGGGTTTTTTCAATATTATTTTTATTTCTTTTTCATTCGTCTATACAAGTGGATTAAAGCAAATGAGCATATTGTATGAAATATTACCTATATATTTAATTTAAGAAAATGTATGAAAATAAAACAATTTTAATTTTATTTGGCCCACAATAAGATATAAAATCGTGAAATTTGTAGATATCGTAGTGCCTTTTGAAAGTCCTGTACTGGGTATCGAAAACTTATGTGAACTTTTCATTCGCACACGGCCATTATTTCAAGAAGGTATAGTTTTTAGTTGTAGTCGAGTAGTAGTTTCACTCAGTCCAGAGACAAATAAATAAATATATATATAAACGGGCTTAACGCAGGAAACTTTACACGTAACACCGAAATTCGGGTTTTTTTTTTCTTATTGTTTACTCTAAGCTTTGACATCGTGATTTGTCCAATCAATAAAATAGAGAGACGAAGAATACGTGAAGACAGGGACCAAGGTAGGTTGGTAAAGGTAATCACGTGAAAAATATCCGTTTTAAAGGACGCGAAATCTTAGTTCCTTTATTATATTTCAAGCCGAGCATTACCGCGGGATAACTGTCTTTGACAGTGTCAGACCACAGAAACGAGAAATTCATTTTCAGGGATGAAAGGGAGGAAATATACGTCTACATGTATAATGTCCAGGTTTTTGATTCCAATTTAGATTCGTATATAAAAAAATAAAAAACGATATTTCCCCCTCGAATATTCGGCTTCCCGTGTATAAAAAGAAACGCTATATGTAAACGTTTTTTTATATACATTATAATATTTTTGCTTTAGTACCAATGTATATAGGTATTATTATTTATGCGCAAAACGAACCGATGGAAACCATCGTCGTCGGTACGCCAATTTTTGACAGGTCAATTCTGGTCGGTACACCGACAAATGCACACAATAATAATATTTTATAATAACAGACGGCGTACGTAATATATGTACGTATTATTGTTGCGCAATATTTATTTTTCATCTCGACCCGTCTCACTTTACATAAAATCGCAGCAAACTCGACGGAAACTTCACAAAACGCACAACGGATGCATTATATATGAGGATATTAATGATAGGAAAACGCCATCTCGCCGATGATTTTCAACGATAGAAATTATGAGTGCCTACCTTTTTTGATTCGTAATAACCTTGGGGGGTAAAATATACAAAATTACTATTAAAATAACAAATAAAAAAAAAAGAAAGACTAACATACTTCACATGATGGGGTGGCCACTGTTGTAGATAAGAAGTTGGGAAGGTATGATATAGTGGGGAATTTAATGTATATCTGTATGCAACGATTAATCATTATTACTAAAGAAAAGTAATTCTTAGAGAAATTCGGTTATGCATGTTTTAAAAACCCGTAATATTTACGATTTTTATTAAAATTTGATACTAAAATTCTTTAAAAAAAAAAAATACGACATTAAACTCAACTTTTTCTTGTTGACCAAGTGCGACTTATAATGGACCTCCTATTAAATTTCCAAGCATTTCAATTTGATCTAATAATTTTATCCATAGAATACCTACCGAATAAAATGACGTAAAAAACTCGCAAAAGTAAAATGTTTATTAATAGATTAAAAATATTTTGAAAATTCATGACGTCTAGAAAAGACAAATATGAGTCTTCTGTCTAAATTTCAATATTCTACAAACGTTTTGAACTTAATTTCAATACAAAAACAAAATTTTAAATAATAAAAGCATTATTTTCGTAAAGTTTCCTGGTTTTCCCGGTTTTTCAAAATTATTGTGAAAACTAGAAAATTAAAAAATAACTTCCCTAAAATACCAACCAGATAAAATTTCCTTTCAAAAAAGGTGCTAAACTTGATATACCGGAACAAGATTTCTGGTAGTAATTTTGTACACAGTATAAAAAAAAATAAAAAACATTATTGTAAAACCAATACAATGTCATTCCTCGCTTCGCTCAGAATTTAAAAGATCTGACATATTTATTAACACCACACGCTGAATGTTGTAGCCTATATGTATGAAGTTAAGTCGATATACGATAAATAAGGTATAGTTTATACTTTATACACTGAAAGCAACGATAAATCATTGCAGTCAAAATACGATTCAGAACAGAGATTAGTAATCTAGTAGTTTTATAGTGGCTATTAGTTGTGCTGTTTCCCTTATTGTAGACAAGTTAAACTGTATAATATAACCTTCAATTGCTTTTTAGATTCGAAGCGTATTTTTATTGTAAATTGTACGATGTGGACGATTTTTAAAATGTTAGTAACCAAAAAAATAAACACGAACAGTTACTATTTAGTTCAATTATGTATCCGCTTTGATATTATACAGTATACCTAATAGATTAATACGCGTTAAAAGATATTAAAAAAAAAAATCATATTTTTTTAGCATAATATACCATTAAAAACAAAAAAACAAACGTGGTCACAATAATGAACATAAAGCATAATATTATTTAATTTTATAATCAGCTACAATATTATTGAAAGAAGCCAAATGACAAATCTATTTTGTCTGCATTTGGATGCTGCATCATTTACTATTATAGTAGTAATAATGTTATAACAATTTTAAACAATCGTTTGAGTTATCGTAAGAAACTAAAACCTATACAAAAAAATTGGCGATATTTCGAGGAAAAAAACGATTCATATCGTATGCGTGTTAATTAGTGTACAGTTAATGGGTGGATCGTGCATGTTTAAAAATTTAAATAGGTACTATACAATAATTTGACAAATTAACAAATTAACAGACATTTTTAAAATAGTAAAATTGTCTGCAACGTTAATGGGTGGTAATTTAAAAAACTATTGTATTGTATACAACTGCTGCTGTGACCACGTGGTTGATAAATATATGCGATAATATGGTAAAAATAACACCGTACCGAAAATTTCTTTCTTTTTTTTTTTATACAATTTATAATATTACCTACCTGTGATCTAGTGAATAGGTGACAATCTAGAATTTTTACCTATGCATGAATAATGGCAGTGTATACAAATTGTTCAACTCGTAAAATTACACCTGTATAACATTTTTGAATAGGTACCGGTACTCATTATTATTATTATTATTATTTTACTTTGCCTCACACTAAAACACGGTTTTTTTTAAATTTTGATCATTTTCATTGTACACATACTTTTCATATTTACTAGCTATTACAAAAGTTTCTCCAAAATTGTAAACTTAAACGTTTGTATAAAAAAAACAACCCTAAGTACCCGAGCTCCGCCATTCCAGAGTCAAATGTTTCACCACCAATTTTGTATTAAAGAACTATTCTTTTTAAAAATAATAACTAACCAAATACCATGTAATAGTACAATAGATACCTACTACACTATAATACCTACTATCTACTACAAAAAGTTGCCCACTGTTTTGGTTTTTTTCCCCCAAACCAAATGTTGATAAAAATCGTAAAAAATACGGCATTTCAAAATGATATGTTTTACCGAAATTCACTCCGAATCATTTTTCATTAGCAATAGTTAATCTTTGCGTAGTGCGTACACATATAAATTAAATAACTTCATGTACCCTACCTTCTCAACTTTCCACCTACAACAGTGGCTGCACCCGTCTCCAGTATCAACTATTTTTTTTTATATTTTAATTATTAAAAATAATATTAAATGTTATAATTATGGGTGTATGCACCGGAAGCCCTCTTCATATTTGACTAAAAATTATTCACAACCCTCATTGGAAATTCCTGAAAAGGCCACTGCAGTTCATATACTTATTTAAATATATGGTATTAATTATATTGTTGGCAAATTAACATTCAGATTAACTACTAGAGTTGGTAATCTTGGTTTGATAATAACTTATTGGAATTTAAATAAAACCAAATATGTATTTTAAAATACAAAATAATAGGTTCGAGATTTATGATTTTAATTTGTACAGAAGCCAAATTTGAATGGCTCTGATTGTTCCTCAAATTGTTTTTTGTTAGATAAAGTAGATAATTTTAAATAGCTTGGATTTTATTATGATAACAAACTGAAATGCACTATTTTTATCAATTACCTATTTATTAAGCTGTAAGTTAATTCTTTTCTATTTTTAAGAATACTTGAAAAAAATAAATGGAATCTTAAACTAAAACGTATCATTTACATTTCACTAATGTAATCTATTTTAAGTATTGGTATTGAATTTTGGCATTGCATTTATACTAGTAATATTAATGTATTACAATTAACGCTCAACAGATTAATTAAATACCTATATTGTCAATAACACATCAACAATAATTACAACTACCTAATCATATTGCTTTAAACATCTGGTAATTTAGATCAAGTTTTTAAGAATCAGTTACTAATTCTAATTTTTAATATAAACAATATTATCACCAAGCATACACGATTATCATGCAAGATTCCAAATGAATATTAATCTGGCAAAGTATAAGTGAAGGTATCACAAATATATAAATGTATTCAATACAATATCATTTTATTAAGTATTCAAAATTCAAGATAGTATTGTAAATAAAAGAAACTAGATAATCACTTAATGCCTAACTTTAGTTTAAAATTTGAGTAGGTATATAATTAATTAAAATATTACCTATATGATTAACCTGTTCCTAGATAAACATATTGTTGTAATAGAACTCTTTTTCCCATTACAAGCATTATCTTACAGCTTACTTATTTTAATAATGGCCATTTTTTATACTGTAATATAAGTATCAAAGACATAATAGGATTATGAAAAATTCAATGCATAATGTAAATATATAAATAGTAATAAATACTAGTTTTGACACTAAAATAGAAAATTAAAAATTAAAATTTAGAGTAATTTTTTTTTTATTATTTTCTATTTCTATTGAGGATGGCCTACTACCGTAACTAGTAGTTACTATTTATGTATTTAAATAATATTATACTTCCTCATTGAATTTTTTCACAATTATATTATTTCCTTAATAATAAATTATTTTGTTGAATAAACTGATTCTTGATGTTAGTGTGTTACATACCTTAGTTTATTTTAGTAGGCAGGTGTATAAATATATAATTCTGTATAATAGGTACAATACATACCAACCTAGTATGCACATGTATTGTATTAAACAATTTTAATTTACATATGAGATTCATTCAATTTCCATTGTTATTATGACCACATTTAACATTACAGAATAGGTAGGTAAATTATCAATTTTTAAAATAATGTGTTCATAATTATTATATATGATTAT